ATTCAACTATCGATCGGACCCTCCTCTCCAGTACCTTGGAGTAGACCTTTCCAGGGAGGCTGAGGAGTGTGATCCCCCTATAGTTGGAACACACCCTCAGGTCACCCTTCTTAAAGATGGGGACCACCACCCCGGTCTGCCACTCCCTAGGAACTGCCCCCGATGACCACGCAATGTTGTAGAGACGTGTCAACCATGACAGCCCTACAACATCCATAGCCTTGAGATACCCAGGACGAACCTCATCCGCCCCCGGGGCTCCGCCGCTGTGTAGTTGTTTGACTACCTCAGCAACTTCTGCCCCCGAGATCGGACAGTCCATCCCCAGGCCTCCCAGCTCTGGTTCCTCCTCGGAATGCGCATTGGTGGGATTGAGGAGCTCCTCAAAGTATTCCTTCCACCGTCCGACTATAGCCTCAGTTGACGTCAGCAGCTCCCCATCCCCACTGTAAACAGTGTGAGCGAGTTGCTGCCTTCCTCTCCTGAGGCGCCGGACAGTTTGCCAGAACCTCTTTGGAGCCGATCGATAGTCTTTCTCCATGGCCTCACCAAACTCCTCCCACGCCCGAGATTTTGCCTCGGCAACTGCCACTGCTGCACCCCGCTTGGCTATCCGGTACCTGTCTGCTGCCTCCGGAGACCCACAGACCAGCCACGCCCTGTAGGCCTCCTTCTTCAGCCTGACGGCTCCCCGAACCTCTGGTGTCCACCAGCGGGTACGGGGGTTGCCACCACGACTGGCACCGGCCACCTTACGGCCACAGCTAGCAACAGCCGCCTCGACAATCGCAGAGTGGAACAAGGCCCACTCGGACTCAATGTCCCCCACTGCTCTCGGGACGTGGTCAAAGCTCTGCCGGAGGTGGGAGTTGAAGACCGTCTTGACAGGTTCTTCTGCCAGGCGTTCCCAGCAGACCCTCACTATGCGTTTGGGTCTGCCAGGTCTACGCGGCATGTTCCCTTGCCATCTGATCCAACTCACCACCAGGTGGTGATCAGTTGACAGCTCCGCCCCTCTCTTCACTCGGGTGTCCAAAACATACGGCCGCAGGTCAGATGATACGACTACAAAATCTATCATCGACCTGTGACCTAGGCTGCCCTGGTACCAAGTGTACCGGTGGGCATCCTTATGTTCGAACATGGTGTTCGTTATGGCCAAACTGCGGCTTGCACAGAAGTCCAATAACAAAACACCGCTCGAGTTCAGATTAGGTGGGCCGTTCCTCCCAATCACACCCCTCCAGGTCAAGCTGTCATTGCCCACGTGAGCATTGAAGTCCCCCAGCAGGACAATGGAGTCCCCTGATGGAGCACTATCTAGCACTCGTCCCAGGGACTCCAAAAAGGGTGGGTACTCTGAACTGATATTTGGCCCATAAGCACAAACAACAGTCAGGACCCGTTCCCCGACCCGAAGGCGCAAGGAAGCTACCCTCTTGTCCCCCGGGGTAAACCCCAACACACAGGCAGAGTGTCTCGGAGCTAACAAAAAGCCAACCCCAGCCCTCCGCCTCTCACCCGGAGCAACTCCAGCAAAGTAGAGTGTCCAACCCCTCTCCAGGTCTCGGGTTCCAGAGCCAATGCAATGTGTCGAGGTGAGTCCGACTATATCTAGCCGGTACCGCTCAACCTCTGCCACAAGCTCCGGCTCCTTCCCCGCCAGCGAGGTGACGTTCCATGTCCCAAAAACTAGTTTTCTTGTCCGGGGATTGGACCGCCAAGGCTCCCGCCTTGGTCTGCCACCCGATTCGCATTGCACCGGACCCTTCATGTTCCTCCTGCGGGTGGTGGGTCCACAGTTGGACGAGCCCATGTATCCGGTTCGGGCTGGGCCCGGCCGGGCCCCATGGGCGAAAGCCCGGCCACCAGGCGCTCGCTCACGGGCCCCAACCCCAGGCCTGGCTCCAGGGTGGGACCCCGGTAACCCTCCGGGCCGGGTACTCCGACTCTTCATTTTAACCGCCATGAAAGATCCTTCGAACCGTTCTTTGTCTCATAAGGGTGATTTATAATTTATTATTGGAATTGCGGTCAAAATCCCTTTCGGTAATAAAATCGCACTGAGAAAAGGATTTAACGTTGGAATTAAGTGATCACCTCTGGGAAACTATACTTCTAAGTAGGGCTGGGCGATATGGCCTCAAATCTATATTGCAATATAATCTGAAGCATGTGCAGTAACGATATATACTGCGATACTTTTTTCCCTCTGTTTATATATGTCAAAATGGCATGCGTTTAAAGAGCAAGTCACCCCCAAATAAACTTTTTTTTGCTGATAAACTAAATAAACGAGTGTCTAATCGTGCTGCAGACACGTGTCGTCAATAATTTGGCACTTCAGTGCATCTTAGTTAAAATTTAAATATTCTGCCTAAAACTGGCAGTGTTGTGCCGTCGTCAGGTAAAAACTCTGCACTGTATTTTAATTTAAATCTGCCACCGCTATTGGCTAAGAGGTATGCTATGATGTAAACTAGTACATTATGATGTCACAATGCTGTCGTGAGCCTGTGTGTGTGTGTATTTGTTAGCGGCTCCGCCCTCTCGGTCTGCCAGGCAACAGCATTTGTTGCATTTTTCAAACATGAAGTGGGAGTGGAGTTAGAATCTGGCAGGGGGTGACTTGCTCTTTAAATATCCTCATGTGGCAAATATATGCCACTTGAGGCATATAGGCCTCCTCCTCCACCCACTCCATGCTTGCAGTCACTGCTATTCTGTTGCCCCAATGTCAGCAGGGTGCACATCTTAGTGACATCACGCGTTATCGCGATATTGCGATATAGCCAGAAACTCTATCATTACCCAATTTTATATCGTTTCTACCTTATATTGTTTATATTGCCCACCCCTACTTCTAAGGGTACACTCCTCTTGTGTCTCTGCTAGACGTGGACCTATCCAATTAAAGAACGTACATCGGTTAATTTCTCAAAAGAAAAACTTGCAAAGATCTCCCCAGGAGCCGACCCGATGTGCAGTCGCTGTAAATCCAATGTTGGGTCACTTTTTAACACCTTTGGGCGATGCCCTAAACTTACCCAATACTGGGATTTAATGTTTCAGACACTCTCAGAAGCGTTTACAATTAATCTCAGCCCAAACGCTCTGACAGCACTGTTCGGAGTGTTGCCGCCCAATATCTCTACTTCCAAATATTTCTCCCAGGCGCGTTGGCCTTTGCATCCCTGCTGGCAAAACGTCTCATTCTTATGAAGTGGAAACAAGAGGCCCCTCCCTCCCATAGTCAATGGATTGCAGATCTTATGAGGTATCTGCATCTTGAAAAAATGAGCTGTACCGGAATGAAATGACCGTTTTCCACCTAAAAGTCATTTTCCCCTCTCCTCTGACACAGAACTAGTCTGCATGAGATATGGCCTCAAGGTCTCATGCATTTGCTCTAAACTGCTTCCTTTCCAGCCCAAGAGAAGAATGAAGAAAGGACTCTCTCCTTTTAATAAATCAAAGAACTCTATTATTAATAAAGCTAATCAAACCAAGTGTTAGTCAATAATAAGATGTGACCAATCTGTGAAATCAAAATATTAATTATTATAATCCTATAGAATATAATAAGTAATGTGACTTTAAATGTTCCACTAGGACTGATCTCACGTAGCGTTAAGACATGACACGTTGCTTTACTGATCCAATCAGAAGCTGCCAGATCTGACGGAGGCGTGGTTTTGGTGGTGTTTGGTAAATCTGTCATCTTTTCATTCGACCATAAACCAAAACATCCGAAGTATAAAACTATGCCCACGTCATCTTTAACGCCAGTTCAAAGCGTTCTAGAGAAGTTGTCGGAGTGGCCAATCCGTAACTTTCCTCTTCAGCCGAAAGAACCAACGACAAGCTGGATAAAATCTGTTGCTGTTCCACCTGCTGCAACGGTTCCTTTCAGAATAAAAGCTGAACCATCACGACCCAGGTTTGGGTCTCGCTAGACGCCAGCAAAACTGTCGTGACCCGGGAGTATCTCAAGACTGGTGGTCGGCTGCCACGGCTGTTTCTACAAGCTTCGGCTCCATAAGGTCAAGCAGGACCTCGACACCTCCTGATCTAGATGGGGACTTCCACCAGGGTATGTAGACCGACAGAATGGCGTTGAATGTGTTTATGAATCTCCTAACCAAAGCTTAACGCGAAGACATCACCTTCATTCCCACCAGAACTAATCGTTTCTTCGGATTTGCTGGTTCTGAGCAACATTCCACACTACACCATTCTCTGTCTCATTTCACCTTAGTAACACCATACATTTAGTTTAAAGTTAGTCTAGTTTTAGTTTGTTTAGTAATGAATCTTTAAACTTTTAAAACCAGACTCTCTCTTCTGTTGTCTCTGAGTTCATATGAAGCTGTTATCTAATCCCTGCAATAAAAAGTTCCAATCTTCTGGTTGAACAGTACCACAGATCCATAAGGTTGATTTCATATTTACTATGGAATCTTACGTCTTATGGCTCATTAAATAACATGTAAATTAAACCATTACAGGATCAACTATTAAATTCATTAAAATATGGCAGCCGTTTCTAAAATACATGGAAACCTTCAAGCTACCTAGTAACCCCTAACATGAACAGGTCAAATGTTAAATATTAATAGTCTAACAGTGATAACTCTCACCACTTAGGATCATTATTAGAATTCATTAATATTACTTGTGCACAGATTTGGAACCTTCTTTAATTTATTAGAATTTGTTCTGTCCTGGTTCCGTTTATTTTTTCCTATTTTTGTCTTTTATTTATTTATTTATTTATTTATATCTCTTTCTTTTCTTGCTTAAATGGGGATGTCGTTTGTTTTTTTTGTGTTTGTTCTGATAATTACTGCTGTGAATAATCACTGGGATAAAAACCAAAAAGACAGCCAATGATGTACACTGATCATATGTGATTCACTGTCTGAAAATCATGCATAAAGTTTAGAAATTAAAAACATTAATCACTGTGAAAAAATAACAGATCAAAGAAGCGTTCTCACCAGCAGCTCCACTCCAAACCAGATTCCGGAGAGGGCTCGGTCAGGGAGTAGCGAGCCTTTGAATCGGACCACCCCGGGTAGAGATTTGTCCCCCGAGCGAAGCTGGACGCGTACTTTAGACCCACAGTCAATGTCCCGGATGCGCTCCAGCCGCGACGAGTCGCACAGCAGGGCGTAGCGTTCCTCACAGTTGGTGATGGGGAACAGCAACTCAGCCAGCTTCTCATCCAGCTCCAGGACGTCCCGCTCATCCAGACTCAGAACCATGTTGGTCTGGTCCAGAATGCGCAGGCTTTTCTTGCCCTTACATGGGGGCAACGTTCGCCCCAGGCTGTTGCGCTCCTGGCAGGCCTGGCCAAGACTACCACGGGGGATCCTCAGGGTCTTCTGGGCGGGCTTCTCCACGGTACATTCCTTCACGACCATGTAGAAGCGCCAGTCCTCCCTGAAGCCCCCGCTGGGCTTCTCCTGGCTCCACAGGGTGGAGCTCATGGCTGCATGGCAGACTGGAGTCCAAGGCGAGCTTGGCCACTGGGCTGGAGGAAAACACACGTGGGTGAGTTTCTCAGGAAGGTTTTGCTTAATTAAAACCTGGAAGTCTAAAAAAGCATACATGAATCAAAACAGGCTTTTTATAGCCAAGTCACCTAAGAAAGCACAAAACTAGCTCGAACAGGTTTAGTTCAAATTCAACATATTGGTAGCTGACTGGTTTCCCTACAAACGCTGGCTCTGAGGAAGACCCCATCCGTCTTGTCTGCTCACTAACGGCTGTAAACTGATCAACCACCTCCAGGCCAGTCCCGACAATTTATCACGTATCAGCCGAGGCACCTGCAAAGGCGCCCCCAAGGGGTGGCCATGGCCACCCCTAGAAAAGAGCTTCCCCCCCCCCCCAGGAAAAGTCGGTGTTCACAAATCATATGAATGTTCAGTCAAACCATATATTGATCTTGTTTATTCAAGACATCATTGTAAAACTAAATAAAAATAATACAATTAATAAGTAAAGGAGTAATCGGAATAAAAAAACAAATGCGTGTGTTTCCGCTGCTCGCCATTTTCAAAAAATTTTATCTCCATAGTTTTTTTTTGTGAACACAGCAGCAGGTGAATTAACCTAAAAATATTTCACTTTAAATTAAATTAGGGATAACATTTTAAATAACTGAAATGTTTGTGTTTGTAAAATTTTAGTTAAATGTTTTAGATACGTAGTGCTTTTTCTTATTATATAAAAATGAATAAAGGAGCAATGCAATACATTGCTACAGGACAAACCGTCCCACAGTTACCCACAAGGACCAATTTGGTGTGCCACCCCAAAAATGTATTTGGCCCCATCTGGCCACCCCTTTCAAAATTTTCTGGAGGCGCCCCTGGGCACCTGGTCCTGCTGTCACACCAGCTTTGGATCACACACAATGTTGTGCTCAAGAGCTACCCAAAAGGGTTCTCAGGCGTTTCTGATCATCTGTTCTAGCCTAGAAATCTAGACAAACCATAGCAGCACAAAAGGATTTCACTCTGTGGGTTGGTCTAGCTTCAGCAGGTCTACAATTGGCTCAGCTTTGTTTAGGCTGAGCCAATCACAGCTCTCAGACAGCTTTGCTGTCCAAAATGATGGGCAGAGCTGTGAAGGATCAAAACAGGAATGATGGTGGTGGCTCAGGATGCTCACTTTGGCATCAACTTTGGACGATTTAGACATGAGCAGATACAGGTTCTTCTTGTACTTCTTCACCTGTGCATGGCAGACTGCCCCACTGACCGATTTTAGTTGATGTGTCACAATATTCCTCGCTCTGATTGGTCCTGGTGCTGTCCAATAGCATGCAGAGTTTAAGACAACGTAGATGACTGAGTTTATGGGTTGTTGCCAGATTATATATTTACATATGTAGGACAGCTTGCCGGGCTCAGATGATCAGATGATCTGTCCTGCTTTCTTTGATCTTTTAGGCAGACAAAACCAAAGAAACTCATCCTGTTTTATAATGAATTGTGATGAATTTGTACGACTATAGTTTAAAAGTCAAGCATGAAGGCCAGACTTTGTGTTTACAATCACTGAAATAATTCAAAACAATGAGAATGGTTTCAGTAGTTTGCTGATTGCCTAAAAAGTATTTCAGGGTATTTTAATACGTTTTATCAGAGCATATTAAAGGTCTGGGGCTTTTGCATTTTCCCACGAGAACCCAAACAGCTGAGTATGCCCGCATGTGTGTGTGTGTGCGTGTGGACTTAGATCTGCTGATATGAAAGAGCTCAGATGAGGAGCATGCAGTTACCCTGACACACACACACACGCACACACACACACACACACACACACACACACACACACACACACACACACACACACACACTGATACCAGCCGGTGGACTTCCCCTCATCTCGTGTCGGATCAAATCTTCAGCAAGTCCACATCCGTCCTTCGTCTCAAGGAGGACACCAGATCCGAATAAACAACCAGAAGCAGGACGAAAACAAGACCACCGGCACCAAATTCAACACGACACGGACCGATCACGCATTTACGTAGCCGTGTCTTTGACGTTAGCAGCGAAAAGCTGAACACAGCTGATTTTAGTTCAGGGCTTTCCTTGCCAACCCCGCAGCGGCGTGTCACCGGGCGGAGGCTGTCGGTCACGGGCCCTCCGGGAGGGCAGTGGCTTAACGGCCACACACACACTCGCTCACGTTCAATACCTCCGTCAGGAACAGCTTACCTTCGATTCGGGTCGGGTCACTTGTAGGCTGCAGATGACTGACAGATCATCTCATTCGCCCATCCCAGTCAGACCTTCACAGACATCTCTCGTATTAACCTCGGAGCAGCTAAGTGGCTAGGCTAATGCTAGCGTCCGAATCACGCAGAAATGAGCCGAGCGAGCAGGTCGGCAGAAGCGGGGAGACTGGCAGGAGACTGCCACCCTCTAAAGGCTCCTAGCTACATTGAGATCTTCTGCTCCACATTTAAAATAAGTGAAATAATAACCTCTCGGTGCATACGTTTATTATTTTCAGGAGACGACAGCACCACGGACAATATGTGATGTCATTACGTTTTCTGACGGTGATTGGTCACTGAATTCTTAGTCTAGCGCTGATTGGCTGTTTGCTGTGTTTTCAACCAAGTTCACCATGAGGGGTTTTCCCATCGACGGCAGGAAAACAGATAGGTTGCAGTGTGCCTCCATGCTGCGTATCGTCAGTGATGGAGAAATATTTAAATAAAAACATTTATATGAATAAGATAATGTGACGTAATGAAAACTATCTGCAAAAGCGCGCTTTGTCCAAAATAATAAATGTCCAAAAAATGCACTTGATTATTTTCTAAAACAGCTGTCTCAGAAGATGCTCGTGAAGTTTTTGAAATAAAAATAAAAGACTAGACTAATACATGATTCGTGACGCGCACCAAGTAACAGATTTATTCCACCAGGATGCTCCACTGATCTCCACAGGAAATCCTTCCAAACTGCGAGAGCGCTCTCTGTCCATGTCGCTGTAAACAGATCCCTTTTTTCTCTCATTTTTATTATTAATTATATGTTGTCTGTGTAGAATGTGATTCATCCGTGTTTAATTTTTCCTATTAAATCTGTCTTTTATATCTGTGTAACGTCCAAAAGGGTCAATTTTCACCTTTATATCGACCAACATAATACCCTTTCATCTACAGAAATAAATCCACTCTCTGTTTGGTCTTCCAAACCCAGAAGGTTCTGCCCAGTGCTTGTTGACATACCAGAAGACAAAACATACACACAAACGTTCTCACCCAAGGTCCTGCACTCTGCGTAGAAGCCAGACTATTGATTCCTCGCCTTAAATAGAGATCAAACCTACTTGAATCCTACAAGACTTTACAACTTATAAGTTAAATAATCATATGTGTTGAATGAACAAGATGTTTATATGAAATGTTTGAATGATCTGTGCTTTAACCATGATGGCTTTAAAAAGAATATTGTTCATACAATTTTCCATTTCAGATCTTATGTGTTTGATTTAACAAGTTAATCATTATTAACACTCACACACATTACAATAAGATACTCATTAAGGTTAAAATTCACATCACATAAGAGTTTCAAGACTCTCATTCACAAAGTGTTAAAAACATCCTTGTATCTGAGGAGGCGTGGCTGTCTGAGGGATGTTCGTAAATACTCATAATGTGTCAAACTCTGATTTGCTAAACTTGGCCTAACTCATAACATTGGGGTTTAATAAAATGAGAATTAATTCCCGATTAATTCAGTTTCTAGCTGACCCTCGAACTGGCCACTTCGGGAAAGAAGCCGCTTTTGAAACCATCTCCTTTGACCTCCAGTCAAAAGCCTCTCTGCGACGCTGTAAGCTGACACAGCCAGACGGCTCTTCTAAGAGCCAAACAAACATCAGCCTTAGACGCAAATAAGCATTCCAGCTTCCTGCCTTCACCTGGAGGATCTCAGACTGGACGGGTCCTATCGGAGCTGTCTACGGGTTCCTGATATCAGAGTTCACTCCACCAGCAGTGACCATCGACCCCCCGGATCGAACGAGAACCTCCACACCAAGGGTGCGTAGATTGGCACAGATTGCGTCTGATGAGCTTAAACAAACAGCTCTCTAGTTTATAACAAACAACAGATTATTTTACAATCCAGATTTCATAATTTCTCTCTGATACAAAGAACGGTTGCTACAACATCTAGCATCCACCACACCCCCTCTCATTATTCATATCTTGTCACGTATAAATTATTAGTTTAGGAAAATAATTGAATTCATTTTAGAACCTAAATACTGACTCTGCCCGAATTAATACGAAGTGTGTTTATGGTCCCTGAATAATCAAAGAACCCGAGAATCTTCTGATTAAACATTCAAAGATCAATCAGATTGACACTTCATGATTGTACGGAATAATCACATCTTATTGATCATAATTAATATGTATTGATAATGTAATCATTAATCACACTACATCTGTGTCCACATAGAATATGTCTGTATGTTATGTTCTAAATGAGGATAAAGGAATGTTATTTAAAATACATTTGAGTAGGAATAAAGTAGGGCTGCACGTTATTAGGAAAACGTGCGATATGCGATAACAGTGATTAATATTGCGATGACGATATTACTTGCGATAAATAAAAACTTGACTCAGGAACAAAAATAATCAAAAACAAATGACAAAAAAATCATAAAAATGAGAAAAGCAAAAGATGTGAGGAAAGGGAAAAAGAAAATGAACAAGAAAAGGATCAGTGGATCCCAGGAAAAGCAGAATCAACAGGAAGAGCAGAGCAAAGCTAACTCAGGTGTTTGCTAACCATCAAAATTAGGTGCCGCCCGTCTCGGGGGCGGGCATCTAACCTATGAGAACCCACCCGATTGGCCAAATGGGTGAAGAGCTCTATTTGATTTGTTAAAAAAACGTCATGTGTCGCAAACATTTGAGCTGACCATTCATGATGATATTTATCTGTTCTTTGCGATATGCATATTGCGCGTGCTGATTTCGCGATGACGATATATTTACGATATATTGTGCAGCCCTAGAATAATGGGATTTTATCTTGAGGAGGTGTGATCAGTCAGGGTGAGGGTTAAAAGAAAAATGATGAAAACAGATTCAAACAAAGTGGATTATAAGAATTAAATATGAAATCTTCTAAATTGGAACATTTTTTACTTTAAAAACAGCTTCGTCACTGTTTCATTACCACCCAGAAAAAGATGAAAGCATTTATTTGTTGTGATGCAATTTTTCCCACCAACATGAGATGTATCCCTGTAGATATGGAATCTAATAAAACATAACCGTTCCCACTTAAAAATGTTTATTCTAAGTATTTCCAATACTAAATAGTGACTTCTTTAACAGATTACACAAATCAAAAAATCAGTCTCGGTTCGATTAGCTTCACCTCCTCAACCTCCTCCGAACTGAGGTCATTGTTCTTCAGCCTGCAGAGGATATAAGAAAAATAAATCAACAAGTCAGTGATGGAAAAGTGGAAATGTGTGTTTAAATCCAAAAATAACGTTGACTTTTGCCTCATTGCTCAAAATTTTGAATGCAAACAACCGGCGAGCACATGTTGCACTCGCACACAGCATGGCCTACCAAACGGATTTCATGTGAGTGTTGTGCTTCAGGGCTTGAATCAGGTACTCCACTCCTGCTCTGGTGATGCAGTTCTGTGTCAGCCTTTCGCAGGAGAAACAAAGGCAGCTCAGCTCACTCGGTCAGCAAAATAGCTTTTATGAAAACACAAATGTAATATGCAGCTAAAGACCTACCACAGCTCCTCCAGCGACAGGCTGTTCCGGACGATCCCGGAGAGCGCGCGCGCTCCTGCGTTGCCTACACCGTTACCTACCAGACTAGCATCAGATGCATGTCTGCATTACTTGTAGGATAATCGAATAGAAAACATCTGTTTGGAGCAGCTATTCTGACATGTAAAAAACTCATGCCACAGGTTAAAAGCAAAAATTACCTGAGCCATACAAGAGATTTGCTGTTTTCCAAAGCTCCAGCGATGGCCTCTGCTCCTGCATCTCCTATCTTATTACCCCAAAGCCTTCAAAGACAAGGGAGGAATTATTTAAAACACCTAAAGGTGGGTAGGAATGCTTTTCTGGAACTTTTTATTACGGTATTGCTTGAAATGCTCTTCACATACAAGTGGCAACTAAGAAAAGATGTTTTGTCAGCAAAAGAAATACATTTATTTGCCTCTGATGTGTACATTTTTGGTAAAACCTCATCCAATAATTGTGAATGTACCGTTCTTAATGATCGGTTCCCGATTCATCCATTAAAAGTGCATCCTCCTTCTGCACATATTCCTCTACATGTATGTGCGCAAATTGTGTGTTCTCCACTCGGAGCAGCTGACCGTGAAGCGAAGCCAGAGCCAGGCTGCCTAGTGTATAAGACGGAATCTTCTGTTCTTTTCATTGTTCGCAAATTTAATTTAAGGAGTTGGTTTTTATGTTCTGTTTGGAATCGGGTTCTATTCTTGTTTGGAAACATTTATGTTTATGTTTATTTATTTGGCAGACACGTTTATGCAAAGCGGTGCACAATTGTTAACCTATCGGGCATGTTGTGATCTGTGGGGGAAACTGGAATACCCAGAGGAAACCCACGCATGAATGAGGAGAACACGCAACTCCACGCAGAAAGGCTGCTGCCGGGTTTTGAACTTGCAACCTTCTTGCTGCGAGGCAACAGTGCTAACAGCAGCCCCGTGACGGACCTGTTGTCTGTGAACACAGCCCGTCGTATGTCAGCCGGCAGAGCCATCAGTCATTTTCCTCGGTATCACATGTGCATCGAGAACCGGTGCAACAGAGAGGAAAGAGTTGAGTGAGAGGAGGTTTGAGGCAGGTTCTGGACGTTTCCACCTGTTGTTTGTGGGCTTTTCCCAGAACGCTGATGGCACCGAGCTGCTGTGGTTTTGAAGTTGGGAACAAATTAAGAATGCTAAAAACTGCTCTGTTTTTCACCATAAAAACAGCACACGAGATTAGCAGGCATACAAAACTATCATACGGCAGGGGTGGGGAATCCTAGTCGTCTAGTGCTGCCACCCAGCACGTTTTAGTTGTTTTCCTGTTTTAATGCGCCTCATTCGGCGGTTGAATCCTCTGTTCAGCAACTCGTGAAGCCTCTCAATCACCTGCTGATTAAAATCAGGTGAACAGGGAAACAACTAAAATATGCTGGATAGTGGCCCTTGAGAGACTAGGGGACACCCCGGTTGTACGATTCTAAACTGAACCCTTGAGAAACAACTATTGCGTATTCCTGTATTCTGTAGGCGTGGCTTAAGGGAAAAGGGGGACTGGACCTTTGGACTGTCTATTTAAAAAGAGTAGCTTGCCGGAGCTGCAAGAAAAACATATTTTATTCCACCTTTACAGAAGATGAAGCATGGCATGTCGCAGGAAACTGTTTACCCTAAAAACTTCAGCGAATGATTGCGTCTCAGTCCTTCAGCCAGTCGCTTTGCTCCTTCTGCTGTGATGTTGTTGTTGCCAAGCCTGAAAGGGTGAAAAGGAAATTCTCCATCTGTCTGACTGAACTGTGCCACTCATGTTGTTGGTGACCGTGTGCTGACCTCAAGGACAGGAAACTCTGCTTGGCCTTCAGAAGGTGAGAAATGTGCAGCGTGCTAGCATCAGTTAGCCTGTTGTTGAAGAGACTAGACAGAAACAAGGTGGTCATGGAGGGTAAGTGATGCAGCAGCGTAAATTTGAGGAGACTTACGCAATTTTCTGGAAGTTGTCACAGTGGACAACTTTAGCGGTCAGTCTTCGGATGCCCTCATCTGTGATGTTATTGTTTCTGAGGCTGACGAAGAAACAACATGAATTTCTGGCATTTCTCTGCCTTGAAGTAAAAAATCAGTTAAATGAAAGAATTAAAATCGCCCGCCACCTTTTTCTCATGAGTCAACGCTGCAAGAATTTGCACGATCTCTTAGCACTCCGAATAAGTTTTAGGCAAGGAATCGAATCTTAGCTCAGTGTCTGCCAAATTAACAAGTTACAGCGATTTCATATGTTAAACAGCAAGTCACCCCCTACCAGATTCTTACTCAACTCTTACTTCCTGTTTGAAAAATGCAACAAATGCTGTTGCCTAGCAGACCGAGAGGGCGGAGCTGCTAACAAATACACACACAGGCTCACAACGACATTGTGACATCATATGGTACCAGGTAACATTCTAGGGTACCTCTTAGCCAATAGCAATGGCAGATTTATATTCTAATGCAGTGCTGAGTTTTTACCTGACAACGGCACAACTCTGACAGTTTTAGGCAGAAAATTAAAATTTTTACTAAAATGCACTAAAGTGCAAAAACTACTGACTACACGTGTCTGCAGCACGATTAGACACGCATTTATACAGTTTATCAGGAAAAAAATAGTTGATTTGGGGGTGACTTGCTCTTTAAGGGCCATAATGATTAATTCCAAGAGTTAAGCCTGGTTTATGCTTCTCCGTCAACTCCGCAAGGGACAGACACGCACGGATTGACGGAAGCGTTTTGCTCTCATACTTCTCCGCAAGGACGTAATTTTCACTTTAGAAGTGGGGGGGACACGGGGGTGGGGGTATCTTTACAGTATGTTCTAATGGGAAACACGCTTCAACACAAACGGTTGTTTTCACCTTGGTCCTAGAGCACAACCAGTGTCGGTTTAATATAGCGTAATATTGTTTTTGGATGGTAAAAAGTGCAGGGGTCAAAACTTGACTTTGGAAAAAGTGGAGGAGACATCCCCCTCCCCAAAAAAAATTACGTCCATGCTTCTCCGTCTCCTGGAGAGCGTTGCAAAGCAATTGCCCTGCAGGACAGCAGAGGGCGTAGCGCTGTTTTGTGGTATCCTGTCATGAATCGGTCCAAGATCGTGTGTTTATATTGTGTTTTTTGTGTATATAAGAGACTTTTAACACGGACATATTTGTCTCTCATTCTCCTCCACTTCATGCGCTCCCCACCTCTAAACCCACGTTTCCTGCCATTTCCGTCCACAAATAAAACGCTTGCTGCGCATCTTTTCACTCCTCCAGTCACGGGGGAATTAAACGTTCATGTTTTTAGAGTTTTTTCGCGAGGTATTCTTCAAGCTTCTTCGTGTCTAACGCTAGTTATCCTCGGCTCTCTTTATGTTTTTGAGGGCGCAATTGCGGCGCTGTAAACAACAGCGGCGTCCTGACCAATCACAAGCTTGCGTAATCCGTCTCCTTCGACGGATGTTTAAAAAAGAGAGCTCGACTCCGTACGTACTTGCGTGCCTGCCGGAGCCCTACGCAAGGACGGATAATGGCGTTGCGTGTCTCCGCACTGACGCAGACGGAGAAGCATAAATCAGGCTTTAATCGATGTAGATGTATGTGTGACGGTCACTGTCAGACTTTCTGCTCAATATAGATAACAATGATAAATGACCCGCACTTGTATAGCGTCTTTCTGAGTCAGAGGACTCCAAAGTGCTTTACACTACAGAGTATCCTTCATCCATTCACACACACACCCCGGGGCGCACCGACACACCAACAGAGGCGAGGCCTTCCAAGCGTAGGTGCCATCAGTCCCTCCGACCACCATCAGAAGGCTAGGTGGGTTAGGTGTCAGCATTCGCTGACTGACTTATGGCCACAGTTTGACGTGCACAATCCAGTCAGATGAAAGGAAACTGCTTAAGTTAAGAAGCAAGCATCATCACTCACTATAAGGAGTTACAAACGTGCACGCAGGGAAGAAGCTGCTCCACTCCAACATCCCCGACTGAGTTGTTGTCCAGCTGGAGGCCCACTGGGCTCTTTATATGCTGCAGCACATAAGCAAGCGCGGTGCACTCCATGGGGCCGATGTTGCAGTAGGTTAGCTTCAGGTGGTCCACCTCCAGCTTACTCATGGCATCTTTAGCGATCCGGCTCTCCTGCATCTCGTAGATGCATTTGATGAGCCAGACAAATCCAGGCATGGCGTGCATGCTCTTCTTCTCCCCCGGCACCGGTCGAGGGATGGACCTGAAATGTTTCTGCATGCCTTTGGAAAGGCATCTTGTCACTTGCCGGACCTTCCTCTCTACCGCAGCCTTTGAGCAGCAGCGCTGCCACGACCTCTTGTGGCGCTGGGACAGTAATCCAGACACAAAGGTGGCCGTGATTTGTAGATTTGGTGCTTCTGCTGCTGTCGTGTGTTCCTCCAAATGACCTCCCTGTTGGTCTGCTGAGGGCAGGCAGGCTCTTAAGCAGGTGCTGCTGAGTCCGGTCTCCGTCACGTCCTGCAGCTCAAACAGCTTAGGAACGGTGGAGCAGTCCGTGTCGCCGGACAGAACGATGTAGAGAGCTGCGAAGAAGCATTGCATTGTCACGTGCAAGAACTCGTAACGCTTGCTGTTACCCGGGGAAACGTCTTTGCTTTGTACGAGGAAACCCATACAAACGTCCTTTTCGGTAATGCCACATGTTTCCAGGTCTGCGCCTGAAAAGACGCAACAGGAGGAGGTGATTCCTTCAGAGGCGAGCTGCCCTAGATGCAGGACTGTTCTTAGGTGCTCCTGCAGCCAGCCTGCCCCTGTGGTGCCCTTACTGGTGCTGTGATGCTGGAAAAAGTGCTGCAGGATCATCAGATAAACATCTGTGACTGTTTGTGGGCTCCCTTCTCCACAGCTGAGCAGCTCCTTGTGGCACTGGGAGACGATCCAGCAGAGAACAGGACTGTGACAAAGTCCGAGGAGAGCTGTGTTCGCCTGTAGGGACTCTAAGACCTTAGCAGCTACAGCTGAATCGCTGTGATGTTTCCTCACAAAGCAGTCGATGCCTGATGGAGAGAAGCCCTTAAGGAGGACCTCCTTACGAAGGTGCTTCTTTAACCCGGGTCCCACTGCTCCTGGACGACTAGTCACGACCTTCATGACCCCCTTCAGCTGCGTGCCCTGGATCAGGTTGAACAACAAGACGTGAACGGGCGCACGCTGGGTGGGACAGCAGACTCGGAGTTCGTCTACAAAGCCCTCCTTGAGCTCATCCAGGCCGTCGAAGGTGAAGAGGATCAGGTGAGGGTGGTCCAGAATAAACTGGAAGATCTCTTCCTGCTCCCGGTCCGGCCAGCAGCAGTGCTGGAACAGCAGCTCCTGTACACACAGCTCCCGGTGCTCCAAGTTCAGTCCGCGGCAGCTGAACGGGAACAGGAGGACGAAGTCCCGGAGGGCCGCCCGCTGAGCCCAAAGGAGGTGGAGCCTCTGGAGGAGAGTGCTCTTTCCACTTCCTGCCTCCCCAGAGACCAGCACCGTGTCAGCGTCCTTGTTCACGGTCCCCACTGACCCAACTACGTCCTCCAGGTCCAAAGGTTGGTGAACGCCGGAGGAGCTGTGATGAAGCTCCAACTGGACTTCAGTGAAGACGTCGTCCAGAGAGACGTGGCTGGTTCCTCCGTAGGTGCTGAGAAAGCAGGACTGAGCCGACACCGAGCTGCTCAGCTTCTTCTGGTATCTCACCAACTCTGAGAAAAAAGAGACGATTCACTAAATAAATATATGGAAGGGTTACCAGTCCAAACCAGTTTAACCCGTCGTTAACTTTAAAAATCAAAGTTTCACACAGAAAGAAAACAGACAAAACACAGAAAGTCAGAAAATAGAAGAAATCAACTAAAGTGCTGCAAAAACTAACTTTAGATAAAATTACAGCATTTAAGAGACTAAAACATCAACAAAATACATTTTAAAAATGTCTTTAATTTTCTGAGATTTGTAAATAAATAAACAGTTTTAGGTTTTAAAAACAAACCAGTTGGACTGTAGGTATAGATACAGAGGGTGTTTCTCAATGCCAAGGAACCTCTCCTTGATGCCTTGGCCCCGCCCCGGTTGCCTAGGAGATACATCATCAGGAGCCACCAAGACATGTTCCAATGTTCATGTTCTACCGAGGTGTGTGCTCTACGTTTGTGTAGCGTCATGAATGGCCTCTAATTTGTGAACCAAAGGTCACACTTTCCCAGCTGGGTCCAGCTGGGTCCAGCTGTAACTTTGTCCCACAGATTAACCCGCCAGGAGCCGTGATGTCTGCTAGACACCATCTTTATCTGCTGCTGTTCCGTCCCAAGATGAAGGACACTTCAAGATTAAAAAAATAATTTAAATAAACTCTTTGACTTTATTACTGTTTATTACAATCATCATAAATAATTATCTTGGTTCAGTATGAATGTTTTTAATTACTGGAATGACTTATTATGCTTTGGGTAATAATAATAATTATTATTTATGATAATCAGTAATGTGTGTTCAGTAAACCAGAAGGTCATTTGCATGTTTAACCACCTCACGCAGAGGGTGAATCCAGGGTAAAGGTAAAGCCACCTCACATGTCTTTACTTCATGACCAAGCTTTCTGACACTGAGAGGGCGTGTTCTGAGGTCTTGTTAAAACCAAATCTCCGCAGCTGAAAGTTAGTTCTTGAACCATACCAGGAGACGAGGGACGGCCGCCCAAGTCTCTGCTAAGCGTTCTGTCACGCCGATAGAATTGCTTCGAATATACGCACTGATGCAAAACTCCTTCAGAGTTATTGATTTTGAGACGCAAATAGTTTCATCAGTCGTGTGACCCACGGAGACATCTCAGGACCGATTTGAGACGCACCAAGGTCTCTCTACCAACCTCGTGCCCGGAGGAAACGATCTCCCTGACATCTCGGATCCAAGGAGGGTCTCCTGAACTGGGTGAGGTAGACATTGTCCGACAGATGGTGTCTGCATGCTGTTCTCTAAGAAACATCAGTTAGCTGCAAAACAACGTTTTCCACCCAGAACGCGCATTCTCTCTCTGAAAGAAACCTTCTGAGATTCATTCACGCATCCAAACCTCGCTTGTCACTTTAGTTTTTCATTCAGACACAGGTGAAAATTTTAATAACAGGTTTTAATATCAAGCTGTTACAAATTGTCATTTTAAAAATTGTTAGTAATAAATTCTTAACTTTTAAAAACCTGACTCTTCTTTAAAATGAAACACAGAATAGTGTATATTTTGGTTATTGAATAAGCAAAGATTCCTTTGAACTTCGGATTCAATAAATAAACTTTTGCTATTAAATTTAATTATCTTAAATTAAACATTAATCTTTGGATTAAAATATAGACCAAGACAGATAGTGTATGAACTTCTATCGAATATATAATATCCTAGATATTTGTGCATAATATAAGTTCATATGCTAATGTCCGATCTTTTCTCAGGATCTGACCAAACTGAAGCAAACCGTGTTAAATCCTAGCATGTAGATTAACCACGCTACATTTGTTAGCCGTTTAGCTAGCTAAACAAGGATACACGGGAGGTGTCTTGTAGCCTAGCAGCCTAGCAGTAGCCTGGGCAGCAGCTCAGGAAGTAGAGCGGGTTGTCCAGTAATCGGAAGGTTGCAGGTTCGATCCCGGCTCTGGACAGATAATTCTGCTGTTGTGTCCTTGGGCAAGACCCTGCTGGTGACGGTCGGAGGGACCGGTGGTGCCTGTACTCGGCAGCCTCGCCACCGTCAGTGCGCCCCAGGGCAGCTGTAGCAACATCGTAGCTCATCCCCACCAGAATACACCACGGTGTTTTCTAAAAGAAGGCGGATCAGAAGCCAGCAGCTACTTCGGGGACAAACTTCAATTTTAAAAGTAAGACAACTAATTTAAAATGTTTTTTTTAGATCGTAAGAAGTTATCTATGGTTGGTTAGTTGCTTAGTAGTTGCAGCTTCGGTGGCTAGCGGGTAGTAACTTGCTTATATATTTAATTTAATAAACATATGCCGTGTTTTCCGGACTATAAGCCGCTACTTTTTCCCCACACTTTGAACCATGCGGCTTGTAATGAGGTGCGGCTTTACTGAAGATTTTCCTTCACCTGCAGGGGGCGCTTTAGCAGAAAGTGAAACAGGTGGAAGTCAAAAGTGGAAATGGAAGAAAGTGCTCATTTTAATTTAGCACATGCAAGCAGCCGGCACAACAAAGAATGTTTTTCAAATCCATACCCCCTCATCATGGTAACTACACGTATGAGTTCATATGTTGCTGCATTTAAGTTGAAGGCCATCGATCTGGCAGTAAAGGAGGGAAACAGTGCTGCCGCACGTACGCTTGGCATGAATGAATCCATGGTTCGGCGCTGGAGACGGCAGCGGGAAGAACTCATTCAAGCCAGCTTCACCCGGGGATGATGACAGCAACACGGACAGCGACACCGACATCGCCACAGAAAAGGTATGTGACGAAGCTCTTCTGAGGCTGTTCAGCTCCGACACTGAAGAAGAGGACTTTAATGGCTTTAGTGCGCAGGAGGAAGATGAGAGCGAATGACTTCTTCTGGTAGGCAAGTGTGTTTTATTTACTAACCAGGCATGTTTTGTGTGCAGTTTTTACTTTCTAATCATCCAGGGCTTATTAATGCTGTGTCAGCGCTGTTGTTTCCTTCTAAACATGCAAATGACCGGTAATAACGTGTCAGTGCTGTTTTTATTTTATAACATCCAGAAATATGAATGCTATCAGTGCTGGTTTCTTTTCTAAACTTGCAGGCACGTTCACCCGTGTTTAAAATTCCTTTTGTTGAATTAGAACAACAAAAAAACTCCGTGTAGCATCTTTCTGTCTAATTATCTTATGTTATGGCCGTACATGCGCTGTGCGCCGGAGACCTGCATGCGGCTGCTGCGCCGCGGCTTGAACTTGAGTGCGGCGTGTGTGAAGAAAACCTTTTTTTTTTGTTGGTGCGGCTTTTATTGAGGTGCGCTCTATAGTCCGGAAATTACGGTACACAATTTAAAAAGTAAAAGGCTCGTTATACATTTATATTGAAACTAATACGTATAAAATATAACGTTATCTCCCGTGTCACGTGACGTGACGTGACCGCCGTGGAAGCCGCGGTCACATGATGCAAGTCTGTTCTATTTAACCGTTTTCTTTGACCAAAGGAAGGACCGTGTCCTCATAAGCCAGGCGCCTGGCCTCACAAGACATCGCCTTGACATTGAGAAACACCCAGACTGTCTTCCATCCATTTGACTGATTTTTTCACACGTTGCTTGAATAAAACAGTTAAGGAGTAAACGTGTGATTTGTGTGGCCGGCTGCCGCATCCAGATGCTTTTTCTTATTTCTGAAACTTTCACACAGTTTTTGTTCAGCAAATGTAAAATGAAGCAATCTGAGGTTTCCGCTTTTTCCTGGATGTCTGAGGGGGGAAGCGTGCAGGCGTCGGGGTTCATATTAAAAGTGGTTTTGACCCGTTCTGTTAGGTAATTCTGTGTGAAAATGATGAATAAGTACATTTTTACCAAAGCTTGCCGAACATCCTCAGTATGGAGAAATGTAATCTATATCCTCTGATTGATGAGCTAACAGCTAGTCTACCATCTTCAAAACGCTAAAGTCGTGGATCCTTCTGTGTGTTGCTGTTTTCAACACGTTACAGTTACTTTTAAAGGTAAACATCAGCAGCGGCTTCAAACGTCGCCGGTCTGGCGCACCCAGCAGTCTGGCAGGAATTCATTCATATTTCTGTTAAATTAACCATTTCATGCAGAACCTAAGACTTCTGGGCCCAAATATCTGGTTCAATGACTAAATAGGTCAAACACTAAAACACAACTACTTGGACTGTTCTACTAGTCAATAGCTAATATTTGGGGCAGCTGTAGCTCAGGTGGTAGAGCGGGTTGCCTCATGATCGGAGGGTCGTGGGTTCGATTCCAGCTCCCGCCAGGGGAATCCTGCTGTTGTGTCCTTGGGCAAGACACTTCACCCAACATGCCTGTGTTAGTGGTGGTCAGAGGGGCCGACGGCGCCAAATGGCAGCCTCGCCTCTGTCAGACCTCCCCAGGGCGGCTGTGGCTACAAGTAGCTTACCATCACTAGCAGTGTGTGAATGTGAGAGTGTGTGAAAGCGTCTTTGGGTGTCTAGAAAAGAGCTATTTAAGTTCAATGCATTATTATTAATATTTAAATTTAGCCTTTATCAATTATCAATTATATCAATTATAATAAAAATAATTTTCCTGTTTACCAAAGTTCTGGATCATCCTTAATTTCCAAACTCATTGAACAACGAGGTCCTGAGAACCAGAGCTGTAGGATGTAAATGGTAAATGGTAAATGGCCCGTATTTGATATAGCGCCTTCTAGAGTCCTGGAACCCCCCAAGGCGCTTTACAACACAATCAGTCATTCACCCATTCACACACACATTCACACACTGGTGGGGATGAGCTACAATGTAGCCACAGCTGCCCTGGGGCGCACTGACAGAGGCGAGGCTGCCGAGCACTGGCGCCACCAGTCCCTCCGACCACCACCAGCAGGCAACGTGGGTTAAGTGTCTTGCCCAAGGACACAACGACAGCGACAGACTGAGCGGGACTCGAACCTGCAACCTTCCGATTACGGGGCGAGCACTTAACTCCTGTGCCACCATGTAACCCTATTTCTCCCCACTGAGGCTGTTCAGGAACCTCTTTAGCTAATATTTGTACATTTCTACACTTCAGAATAAATAAAATATGAATCAATGGACAAATCAACCAACATATCGGTCTGGTGGACCAATACCTTTAATAGTTTTAGAGTATTTTGGTGCTGAGGTGGACTGGCAGACTTTTGACCCGGAAGACACGATACCTTTAGGGATTTCCAGTTCCCTCTGGTTCTGCTGGGATCCAGATTCCTGTCTTCGCTGGATGAACTGAAGAAGAGCTGACGCCGCAGACTCCCCTTTGGATCCGACGTGATCGAGCAAACGCCGGGCCTGGTTGGGTTTGAACGAGAACAAATTTACCCGAGGCCGAAAGCAGCAGTTCCACTTTTTAAATTCACATTTTAGAGGAGATAACTGCACAGGAAACGGCTCGGCGCACCCGATTAGAGCTTCAGACAGGAAGCTGTGGAGGAAACGAGGTGATGTGCAGAAGTAAAACCCTAATTTAGCAGTCGCTGTACTAAAATCTCCTCTATCCTTCAGTCACATGTCTGACCCGTCTGCGGGTTTATGGCTTTTTACACCAAAGCTTTCCAGATAAATCACTTCATACCTAAAAAAAACGGGTCAGAATGAATGTTAAAAAGAAGCCACAGGCTCAGGATCAGAGGGAGAACCCTAATTTCCATCAGACCCAGATGGAACAACCCCAGGGACCTGCTGGAGATGTGGACGTTCTCGTCCACGCAGAGCTCTAAAGCTCCAAACTAGCATCTTAGAGTGGACTAAACAGGAAGTTGGTACAGCCCAAATAAGGACATGATGACATAAGGGTGAAACTATGTTTCACAAAACAAGTTTTCAAATCCCTTCAAAAGAAGCTGCCTGACACCACAAAGAAGGCTAAAAGATCTCAAAAAGCCAACATCATGACCTGTTCTAGAAATCCAAGAACATAAGAACCCAGAACAACATTTAAACCCTTTTGGGGATTCTTGACGACTGGTTGTAACTGATGGAATCATGAATTTGGTTCTCTGGTATCCTGCTGATGGACATTTGACCTTTGATGTCTGCGTCAATCAGCGATTCCCTTATTATGACATCACAAACAGGGACTTTTTCAAACCGTTTATATTTCGCAAATACTCCCTGAAGCCAAACCCCGACAGATGGACGGGCACTTTCAGGTTTGGAGTGTTTATAGGTGGTGGCACAAAGGTGAGTTTAGTCATATTACGATATGTCCTACTTATATGAATCCAGTCGTCTTGGAAACCGTATTCTGCACCAGCTACCTCCGTCAATCAAAAACAGTAAGTGACAAAAGAGCACAAAATGGAGGAGATGTGTTTACAAATGCCTTTTTTACCTGTTGAGACGGGGTGTGAACAGGCAGCAGGACCTCATCTCGTTCCTCTGAGGAAAAGTGACCTGATTCCAGGAGAGCTTCCAGAGCACCATCCACACAGTCCTGAAGCTTGCAGACCAAACTCAGCCGTTGTATTAGAACTGTCTCTGCAGACGTCTTCTGAACTCTGTCCTCTAAAGGTGGGGGACATCCTGAGGACAGGCCAACTCTTTGGCCTTCTGGAAAGACCTGATTGACAGCAGCGAAGAAGATTCTGCAGGCTTCCTCACCTTTTGTATAAAGCAGGTCGAGCAGCTGCCTGGCGTTGGTGTGCAGGGCCCTCCCCGGGACTTGAATGCTCTGGTAGTCCTCCCATCCCAGCTCCCCCTGAGCCAGCAGCACGTCCAGAACCCTTTCCAGGTGCTCAGCTGAGCCGCTCCTGCAGAGGGCGTGGAGAACCTCTGAACGCTGTTTCAGCAGCAGCTCCTGAGCAAGCATGCTTCAGTCTTATCAGCTCCCATGCTTCAATCCTTCAGCTTCACATCTGGTACCAACCAGTCCATCAGGAAAGCACAGAAATCAGATTTCCTCTAGTGTCCCCCTTCAACAGACTAGAAGACTCGCTCTCACCTGTAAACACAAAGCGACTGACTGCCTTCTCTCCAGCCCTCATCAACCCAAAAGGACCGTTCAACCACCTCTTCCTCATTCCTCGTCTAAAAACCGAAACCTGGTCTGTTTGCCAAGCAGCTCCAGTGGAGCAGAAAGTAAACAATGGCTGAACTACCATAAAGCTTAAGCATCCTCATGAATTTGATTTGACAGGATATTGTTTAAAATGTTTAAACAAACCAACACTAATGTGTTTCAGGGAAATCAAAAGTAAAACACAGATCTAAACCACTTGTAACTTGGTGTTGGAGCCACTAGATGGCGGTGTTCCACAACAAAAACCAAACCAGGAGGCTCGAGCTCATCTGCTTGTGGGGACTTGATAAACCTACATCTCATCCTGGCCATGTGCAACACAGAGGTAGGTCCTTTAACCCTTTCTGCTCCTCTGGCTTGTTGGTTTTTTTTAACGTTGGCAGTCAGACTAATGGTGGGGAGAATTTGGTCATCGCTGGATGCCAAATCTACGCCCCTGTGGGCTCATTTGTCATCTTAAAGTGCGGTTATTACATTTTACTTATCTTCAATTTTGCCCCTAAAACTATCTAATAATAAGTTAACATATCATTTAAAACATGTATTTATCTGATTTAAAAAGTGGATAAATTAAATCAGCCGTTGTGGTCAAACATTTACTCAGTTTTTCACTAGCTTTATTTTTTTACTCAATTGTTTTTTACTTGTATTTTTATGTTATTTTATTTATTTGAGTAGTTTGTACATTAAAGGTTGAATATGGAGCAATTTCATAAAAAGCTATACATTGTTTTAATAATACCTCCACGGGGCGTTTAGAGGTGTGCAGAATGAAGATACAATATTTCCTTTAAAAGCTATATTTTAATTAAAAATATAAGTGCTCTGTTATAGTAAATGGCCTGTATTTGATATAGCACCTTCTAGATTCCTGGAACCCCCCAAGGTGCTTTAAAACACAATCAGTTATTCACCCATTCACACACACATTCACACACTGGTGTTGATGAGCTACATTGTAGCCACAGCTGCCCTGGGGCGCACTGACAGAGGTGAGTCTGTTGTACGTAGGCGCCACCGGTCCCTCCGAACACCACCAGCAGGCAAGGTGGGTTAAGTGTCTTGCCCAAGGAGACAACGACCGCGACAGACTGAGCGGGGCTCGAACCTGCAACCTTCCATTTACAGAGCAAGCACTTAACTCCTGTGCCACCGTCGCTCCATTAGGTTGTTGCCCGTGTTAGGAACATATGGAACAATCAGGTTACTGATGTATGATGGAGCTTGATTATTGAGAGCTTTATATGTGAGAAGGAGGATCTTAAAGAGACAATGTGTAGTTTTTACCTTTAATTTCTGGAAATATCCATCAAACTGTTGTTGAAAGTGAATCAAATGATGCAGGTCTAAAATACATGGGAGCGGGTCTAAGTCTCTCTCTCTGCAATGCCATATTAGATGCCATGTTTCCAACTACGGTAGCCCATGAGGACTAAATGCGTTTACTGATTTGCAACAAATGGTGACAAAACGTTTGTCTTTCTTAAATGTTGTTTTACACATTTACCTCTTCGCTTGTTGTCAGTGATGTCAGTCTGATGTGCTTGTCGTTATGCTAAAGTTTGCGCTCCCCAGGGTTTTTTGACCCTAATAGGCATCCGTTGGTAAGGTCTTACTCCAACACAAAAATACTGCTTGCTTGCAATGATTTAGATATCTATTGCCCCCTATCGCCAGGAAAAATACACACTGTCGCTTTAAAATCTATTCTGAATTTAACAGGCAGCCAACGTAGGGAAGCTAAGACAAGAGAGATATGGGGTGTTTCTCAGCGTCAAGGCGCCTGGTCTTGCGAGAAATGGAGAGAACGGTGCAAGGCGCAATACATTTTTCAGCCTCTAGTTGGAGAAAAATCTGGATTTCTGCTTTAAATCATCCAGATGGAGCATCAGGATTAGTGTCTTCATCAGAAACCTGATATGTCCCGTCCTATACATGTTTACTGTCCCCCGGTGGAGGAGCTACAGATGGCAAGGGCCAATTTTATTTTTTTAATTACTGTTATGTTTATTTACATAACAAAACAGATTGCTGTATAGTTTTATTATTTAATAGTTGTGCATCAAAAACTAGATTGATTATGACTTCGTTTTTCAGGTTTTAATGGGTTAAACTTTGATATTATTTAGGTTCATGAACACCATGCAGCTGCATGCACATTTACACTTGTTTACTTACCAGATTTTAACTTGCTGCCTTCCAAATTATCTGGTTTTAAGCTACGTTGCGTTTGCTCCTGCTGATAAGCTGCAGCAGCCATCAGCTCTTGCATCATTTTGCATTTCGACAAAATAAGTGCAAAAAACTTTTGTGGTGTTTTTTTATATGGGGTCCACGCAGCTCCCTGCTGAGAACCGCCATCAGTTTATTATGTGTCTTCGCCGGATTCTGTGGGAAAATCCTCTAACTCACATGGACAGGAGTAATCAAAAGAAATGTTTCAAAGACGGGTTTCTTTTCTTCTTCTGGTGTGAGAAACAGGAAATCCACCTCCGGGAGCGTAACGCAGAGTAGCATCCCTCACAAGCCTTCCATCGTTGGGACGACAGGAGGCCCAGAGAAATCTGGTAGAACAGAAACAAGGCAGCAGACTTAATAACAAAAATAAAGACATTGTTCCAAAAACAACAACTTCTGAGTATTTCTGCAGGGTTGAACCAGAAGTCTGAGCAACAGATTTGAGGGATTAAATATTTTTTTCATTCTCATCACAAAAATGTAGTAAATGGTTGTTGAAATATTTATGATGAAGCCAAATAAAGGATTTACTCATCAGCCTGCAGCTGGTTGAGTCGCATCGTCGCTGATTACTGCAGTAAAAATCTCACAAAGGAAGGAGGGATCGAGCAAAAACCCTCATCTGGAGAGGACGAGGAATCCAGATGCCAGAGAGCGACTCGGAGGAGAGCCGCTGCTCCTCCACATCGAAGGGAGCCGGCTGAGGTGGAAGAGTTTCAGAAAGCTTTTGCACATTTTTTTTTTCAAACAATTGCAAGTAAAATTCCCTGCGGCATGAGAAAAAGGTCCTGATAAAACATGCAAGATAAATGAAAACCCTTGCTCGTTTAGACACGGATACCAGGCATGAATGAGAAACCCGACCGAGATGCAGCTCTGTGAGAAAACGTGGACACCTATGAAGAGACCTAATTTGGGTCCGGACACCGGCTGTAGTCTTCTGCTTGGAAATGAAGCTCAAGTCTGTTGTTTTGTGTTCCCCTGAGCAAAGCAGTACTAAATAAAAGAGGATTACTTCATTTGATTAATGGGAACATTCTAGAATCCAGGAATATTGTAGAAACACAGACTGACTCACACGTTAAGCAGAATGTTGTGTGCTGAGAAGAAGCTGGAGGGAGAAGTGCTTAGCAGTCAAAGAGGATGACATCTTCTACACAGCAGTGTGTGTGTGTGTCAATCAGCCTTTAACTGACAGGACGATTAAAGCTCACATCTGAGAGACCCTCTGTTTTACAGGAGCAGCCGAGTCGGGCCTCCAGCATGGGCCCAAGGTTTGGGGTGCTGCGTTCAAGGTTAGCGCAGACGTCCCACTGAGCGCGCGCCGTCTGGGATGGGCCCTACTTGTCGGACACTCATTATCAAACTCTGTTTGCTCCTTTCATCTGCAGCTCTCTGCAGCACTTAGCATAAACTACAGAGGCACCTTGCAGCTTGACATCTCTCCATTCAGTCTGTACCTTAAACAGCATGCTGCCACATCAGAGAGCTGCGGCTGCCTTTGATGTTGCAAAAAGAAAGAGCTCCAATGATCTACTAAAAACCAGTGCAACTTTCTGGAGCCTTGTTTTATTCATTTGCCGTCTCTAAAGGTCTGGAGTCAGTCCCTAAAATTCCAGGTGGAAGATTAGGGTTTTGCTAAAGTTGTTTGAGACTCTTTGATTTATCAGGTGAAACAAGGCAAGTTTAAAACAAATCACAAATGAGCTAAATAAAGTGGGCTATCTCTTGGTTTTAAGATTAAAGTGTATGTAAAAACAACTCTAGAAAAATGAGGCTGTGTAAAGAAAACTGAGAGGCGGGCGTTTTAGATCAGGATTTCAGTTTCATATATTTGTTTCTTGAAAATGTTTACCCATGAAAATGAATTTAGCTCTGATGCAACAATAAATATCTGCATAATTTTGCTGGGAAGAAAACAATTCCACTGCTGTTGTCCCACAAGTAAACTTCATGAAATGATTTGAGCTGAATTTAGCAGTGTCAGCAGAATAATGAGCACAGGACCAAGTACACATCCTTGAGGAACACCTTGTCTGTGCTTTTGGGTGTAATTGCTCAGATACTTGAAGGAATTTATTTTTATGTGAATTTCTTGTGCAATTGTTAAATAAAATACCAGAATGACAAATAGAGTCAAGTTAAATGTTGTTTCTAAGATTTACCGACGCAAACGGTTGATTTAGGACAGCAACATACAAATGAAGAAATCTGCTGCCTTTCACTGAGGACATCAGTATGTGAGCAGAAATAACGCGAACCCACAGGCTGACAGCGCTGAACAAAGTGGCTTTTCTCACATAGAGATTATTGGCTGGACTTAATCCGGCTAATTATAATTTCATCAAATAGGAAACGGCCGACGGTTCAAAGTGACGTTTAAAGCGAATGGCCACTGGGTCAGAAACCGTGAACTTTAGTACTTTGTCAGCTTATTTCCTAATCGAATGAACTTGGCAATAATTGAAGTCTTTATTTTTGCCCTTCTTTTCACACATAAAAGCCGGCCACAGCAATTTCTTTTAATTTTCCCCTTTCTTTTCATGTTTCTGAGTGGGCAGGAACCGGCGTATTCGGATCATTTGCATTATCCAAAGCAAATCTGCTTTGAAGTCTTAAGATTCTGGAGGGAGCAGAAGCTCCTTATCCCGTAAAAAAAAAAAAAAAATTAATAAAAAATGTTCAAAGCTTAGAAATTTACCAGAACAGATGTACATTATCATTGGATTAGCTTTTTTATGAAAACCCTCTTCAGTCACATGTTGGTAGCAGAGTAGCTCATGTCCCTATCCTTTAGCATTTAACATCCTTCCTTTGCAGAAGCGGCACCCTGCTGTGCCGATCCACACTTCAAAGCTTTCAGCGTTTCAGCAGGAAACAAAACACACCAGGCGTAACGTGGTAGCCCTCATTTCACCTTATTAAAGTCAATACTTTTATATTTCTGTTTGCTTGTTTGTTTTTGATTCAAGGGTTTTAGTTCAGATTAATTTCCCCCGAAAAAGACTAATCCTAGTTTTCCAGCATCCAACGACTCAATAACGGCTAAATTTAACACATTATAATTTTATATAACTTTTTAAAATTGATAATTAAACAGAATTGGACAGATTACTCACAAAATGATTACCCTTTTAAATGTAAATAAAACTGCTATAATAGGAAACTATATCAGCAGAGTAACAAGCTCAGGACCAAGTACACATTCTTGAGGAACCCCTTGTTATTGCTTTTGAAGTAAATGTTTAAATACTTGAAAGTATTTTGTTTTTCTATTAAAATGTTTTAAACTTAAAAGAATTATTCAAAAATACAATGTGCCTGGGACACACTGACTGCTTATTCCCATAATTAAACTATCTTCCAGATCGCCAAATTCCCAGTCCCATTCCAGGAAAACCAAAACTTTCAAAGAGTAAAACAACCAATAAGTTTAGCTTTTAAACAGCTGAGGTCCTTCCAAGGTGATGGAAAAGCATCCTGGTTACACAAATAACTGTTTATGAGGTAGCCATATCAGGTAGAGGCGGAGTCTCAGCGGTTTCCACGGACACAGAGAAGCTGCTGTTGGAGGGGTGTGTGTGTGTGTGTGTGTGTGTGTGTGTGAGCAGCTGGTTGATGTCAGACACTTTCAGGTTGAAGGAAGCTGAGCAGACGATCTGTAACTGGACACGTGACCATTTAAAGAGCAAGTCACTCCCAAATCAACTTACTTTTGCTGATTAACTATATAAACGAGTGTCTAATTGTGCTATAGACACATGTACCCAATAATTTGGCACTTCAGTGCATCTTAGTTAAAATTTAAATATTCTACCTAAAAATGTCAGTGTTGTGCCGTTGTCAGGGAAAAATTCTGCATTGTATTTGAATTTAGATCTGCTACCGCTATTGGCTAAGAGGTACACTATGATGTCAGCTGAGACATTATGATGTCACAATGTCGTTGTGAGCCTGTGTGTGTGTATTTGTTAGCGGCTCCGCCCTCTTGGTCTGCCAGGCAACAGCATTTGTTGCATTTTTCAAACAGGAAGTGGGAGTGGAGTAATACTCTGGTAGGGGGTGACTTGCTCTTTAAGTTCTGGAAGATGCTGATGAGCCCCAAAATGAAAAAAGATGACAAATCTAACCGCTGGAGAAAAATCACTCGACCGCAGGAGCTAGTGAGCTTACGATGAACAGGTTCATATTTTAATAAAAGAGTATTTCCCTTGGCACAGATCTGCTATTCAATAAATAAAGAAATTAATCAAATACAAAGTAATATGAGCTAAACAGAATGGTGATAAAACTAAAGACGTTTCCGACGAGGTGGAGATGAGTTCGTTTTCCTAAAGGTGATTTCCCTTGGATGAGCGGGAGCAGCCTGGCGGACACGAGGAAGGTTCAACGATAAATAATGAAGCTTTCTACAGTCCACTACACACATGAGAGTTAAAATAAAGGTACAAGGAAGTCAGTGGTGCTTTAGATACAACAATAACGTGAGAAGTGACTACCGTGAACAGAGGTAACACGTAATTAAGAAGGTTTGTGTTATGATTAAAATAAAATGGCAGAAAACATCCTATTCTGGAATAAAATGTCACTTATGTGCACATGAAAACCTGCCAAAGCCACTGAGAAGGAATCTGGGAAAGATAATAAAATATAAAAAAAAGGGAATATATATATTAAAAAAAATAACAGATAGGAGATGGAATAGCACCAGCACTCTATTGGAGGTGAGTTTTGACCCATAAAATAAAGTTTTACAGTAAAATATTTAAAAGGACTGCTTTCTCAATGCTTAACAAATGCTGCTGGGATGTTCTTATGAAGTAAAGAGACTGAATTAAATAAGATCAAGGTTTAAAAATGCCACTCGGGCCGGGAAGTCGGACTCAATCGAATTCCCTCAGAAACCCGGGCTCGCCGTGTTGAATGGGACCACCCAGCAGGATGAAAAGTGGACCGCTCAGAGTCTGTTAACGCAAGGGATGGCTGACTCCACCACGGTCGAGACCATTTCTGAGGAGATGAAAACGTGCCGTCCAAGAAAAGGCCCCGAGGAGCAACATCAGTGTGCGTGTACTTGTCTTTATATGCTTAAGTGGACAAATTTTAACATTTAACCTGTAGCGTGGACATTTGGCTGATACACACAAGGACAAAATACCCTGAAACGTGGTTTTAGGCATAGTGGAGTCACTAAAATGAATGAAAGTCAAAGGAGGGTCCACACAAGCATACAAATACGTGTGTGTGTGTGTGTGTGTGTGTGTGTGTGTGTGTGTGCGATTGTAATTTTGTGCAAGAGTTATTATCAAACCCAAGATAGCTTCCTGAATGGCCTCAGTTCAGACAAATGGGAGTTTCAGGACTGATAAGCTAACTGCTAGCATAAGCATAGACCTAATGGGATCAGCACCTACTGAACGCGTCTCAACTTGGTTCTGAGGTGTTTCTACCAGTAAAGCAACGTCAAAGGACAGTTGGTCACTGGTTGGTCAGGGGCGGAGTCACTTAGCCTGGCCTGCCAGACTCCTCCTCTGGCTAGTTCTGCACAGAGAAAGGGTCTGGGAACTCTCCTGTTCAAATAAACCCAATCAGCGCTGAACAGCGCACATCACACACCACAACACCGAGTTAGTCACGAACACGGCGACTGAAGCGGAGTTGGCTGCGGCTCTTTCGTCTGGTCTAAATGACTTCAATGTCTTTAAAACAAGCAGAAGCGCTAAAAGCCTTTCTTCTTAAAAAAAAGATGTTTGCGCCGTCGCCAGACGCCATTTCTGACTACAGCTAAAAAAAACTACAGCATCGCGCGGTAGTCAGCATTTTCGTCTTTTTTTTTCTGATTGGTTATTTTTGAGCTGCCTAGCCCCGCCCCTCATGTTCCTCTCTGCCTGTGAGTGACCAGACTCTCTCTCTGTACAGATTTAAACAGAGGACGAGTCTGGAGGCCGGGCTAGGACTCACTGGCTGCTCCAGAATTTTCCGCCTTCATCCTTTCGGAGTCGGACACAAAGCTGACTAAGCAGAGCAATCAGCATCGCTATCATGTCCTCCATTGTTGCGTTGCTGCAAAATCGCCTCACGCTTCTTTCTGAACTCTGGGGGCCGTCCCGCTATGACTAGCCCCCCCACTTTGAAGGGTCAAAAGTGTATATTTGTCCTAAAACAGCTCTGATTTTTGAGTCCTCTCATGTAAAAGAGCTACAACAGGGCATAAAAAGATACATTTATGCACAGAAATGCACTTAAAATAGCTAAACGTTACAAAAACGGTGCTGAAATGAGAAACTCCTCAATCCAAGCTTCAGTCAGATGTCAGCTTAAAAGAAAAAGACGAGGGACAGGACGGGGCACGTGTCCCCACCGCTGGCAGGGGACGGCAGACAGAAGCGGTGAGTTATGGCCGTAGTGGAGACGGCGGGCCGAGCCCCGTGTTATCCAGCACCAGAGGAATGAGACAGCTGGGAGAACACGCCCCCCCACAGACTTGTTAGCTGAGCGCCGAGGCCACATGGCAGCTCGGTGAGACCTGCTGACAGCTGGGGGGACAGAGGGATCAGCTGACCAAGCGGGACCGCTGGGACGTGGCATTAGCTAGTCCAGGTATCCAAATAAAGACCTCCAGAGGAAAATGGGGCTCGTCTTAGACGGTTTAGTATTTAGGCCATTTCCCGCAATGTTCCTGTGTCTGAGTCACCTTCACACCTGTCGTTCGCTTCCTGAACGGCCTCAGTTCAGAGAAATCAGCTGTCCAACACCTTCAGGAGTCACGACCGGATCAGAGATGATGAACAGAATTGTTCCGACTCAGTAACACGGATGCTCTGGTTAATCACACACGACTGTGATTATTAGCTTCTAGAAGCGATGAGGACTAAAGCGTGTGAATGGCGAAGGAGTACACACTCCCACACAAAACAGCGGTATTGTTGACATAGCAGGAAACAAACGAGGATGCAACAAGTCCGAGCTTGCTGTCGGGAAGGTCAAAAGTTCGCCGGGTTACGTTTAGATCTCGTCTGATTTTCTCCCAGGTGAAAAGGTGAGAAAAGGATTCAAATCAAACTGAACCTTGATGCAAATGTTGCATTATGGTCCAACGTAGGACCGAATATTTAGCAAATGAGCGGACGTTGCAACAGGACTGATGGGCTAACGGCTAGTTCCAGCACAGCTGTTGTTTTTTTTTTTTTTGGTTATTTACAGGAAATCCTGTTTATTTCCATCTATTTTCATCCGCTTATCCGGAGTCGGGTCGCGGGGGCAGCAGCCTAAGTCGAGAGACCCAGACTTCCCTCTCCCCAGCCACTTGGGCCAGCTCCTCCGAGGGAATCCCAAGGCGTTCCCTGGCCAAGTGAGAGACATAGTCCCTCCACTGTATCCTGGGTCTACCTTTAGGTCTCCTCCCGGTTGGACGTGCCCGGAAAACCTCACCAGGGAGGCGTCCAGGAGGCATCCTGACCAGATGCCCGAGCCACCTCAACTGGCTCCTCTCGATGTGGAGGAGCAGCGGGTCTACTCCGAGCCCCTCCCGGATGACCGAGCTTCTCACCCTATCTCTAAGGGAGATCCCAGCCACTCTTCGGAGAAAACTCATTTCAGCCGCTTGTATCCGTGATCTCGTTCTTTCGGTCACTACCCAAAGCTCGTGACCATAGGTGAGGGTAGGAACGTAGATCGACCGATAAATCGAGAGCTTCGCCTTCTGACTCAGCTCTCTCTTCACCACGACAGACCGGTACAGCGCCCGCATCACTGCAGATGCAGCACCAATCCGCCTATCGATCTCACGCTCCATCTTTCCCTCACTCGTGAACAAGACCAAGATCCTTAAACTCCTCCACTTGGAGCAGGACCTCATCCCTGACCCCGAGAAGGCATTCTACCCTTTTCCGAATCAAGACCATCTGAGACCATGGTCTTGATTCCTGTTTATTTTCAAGCACAAATCTCAAAACGTAGCACTTCTGATTAATCTGGAAAATTCAGGAAATATTTTTATATTTCTGCCCTTATTTCATGAAATGAAGCTATTTCTTCAAACTGAGGCCCTTCAGGAAGCCATCTACAGCAAGTGAGATGAAAATGTTTAACGTTTACACAGAAAAATCCCCTCGACTGTGGTGAAAGGGGAGGCACGAGACCGCCACGGTGAGATGGGATGCTGGTTTATGTTCTACTAATACTCCTAGTGGTCATAATAAGAAATGCAGCTGAGGAGGAAACGAATACGTGGGTATAGCACCTCATTAATAAAGCTTATAAAATCCATAACAATATAAATACTTTATGTACAGAACATGTTAGTTAATACATCTAAGTAGCTTTTCCACATTTCAGAGCAGAAACAACAGAATTTATCTTCCTTCCATCAAAGTACTTTTGAAAAAAAAAAAAAAAAAACCTCTGAATGTTTGACCAAAGTCACCATGACAACACGGAGCAGGATGAAGCAGAGGTAGCAGCAGAATCAGGACTTTCTCCTTCCTGTTTTTACCTAAAAGGACTTCAGTCACCTGATGACCTCACAAGCATGCTTCAAGTGGTTCTCACACACACACAATCACACACACACACACACATACACACATACAATCACACGCACACACGTGTACACACAATCACACACACACACACACACGTGTAAGGACACACACACACACACACATACACACATACAATCACACGCACACACGTGTACACACAGACACACACACACACACACACACACACACACACACACACACACACACACACACACACACACACACACACACACACACACATGTGTACACACAGACACACACGCACGCACACACACACACACACACACACACACACACACACACACACACACACACACACACACGTGTACACACAGACACACACAATTGCACACACACACACACACGTGTAAGCACACACACACTCACTGATACAAGCTCACACACACACACACACACACCACATTTTGGACACCTTTCTTCTGCTCCTCCACCATCTTTGTTCCTTCATATATGTTTTTAAAGTCTCATGCTCGTCCTCTTGTCCCTTCTTGTCCTTTAGTGGTGTGGGGAGGGACGGCGGTGCTGGTTGGGAGGCGTGTGGTCCATCAGGTGTCTGATCACAGAGACAAGAGGACAGTCAAGTCTGCGTCGTGTCCCCTGGACCTGCTGCTCTGACCTTTAACGATAACACTGATTATTTCGGTACTGGGACCCGTGATCCTCCTGTCCTCCCCGTGTCCATCGCAGCGTCCCCTTTGCAGGACGAGCTGCTTTGAGGACACTACCGTGTCTGCTGGTCCGGTTTGATCGGCTCCAGAAGAACCGAGCTGTCCCAGCCAGAACCCGAGGTTCACGACTGATAGAAGTGGTGGTAGTGGTGGTGGTGTTCGTGGTGGTGGTGGTGTTCGTGCCGCTGCACCAGCTGCGCCAGCCCGCCCTCGTACAGAACCACGCTGGGGAGGTCCCTCACCTGCTCCTTCTCCACCATCGGGCCCGGGGACACCAAAGAGCCCAGAGCCCGGTAACCCTGGCTCTCCTTCGATCTCTGTTTGTGTCTGCGGTAGGGGGCTGTGGACTGGTGAGGGGGGGTCTGACTGGGGAGAGCCGGGGGAGGGGGAACGCCTCGGCTCCTCATCACCCGGCCGCTGACCTGCGCCGGCGGCGTGCGGCTCTGGGTCTTTGGAGAGCGAACGGTGTGTTTCCCTGAGTCTTGTCCTTTGGGGCGAACGGGATTGAGGACGTCCGCAGCAGACGCGTCCACCACCGTTTGCAAGCGGCGGTGGTGTGAATGGGCGTGACCGTTTTCAGGCTCGTGGGAGCGAGAACGACCCTGGTTGGATGAGCGCGTCTGAGTCTCCACTTTGGTTGGTTCTGGAGCGGGAGCTGAGAGAGAGAGAGAGAGAGAGGAACAGAGATTTAGTTCCAGCAGCCTGATGTTCTGCAGTCACACGCACGAAGGACCCGAACCCAACTTGGAATTCGTAGCATCCATCTTTAAATTGGGGCTGTTTGCATTAAGTCCTGAACGTTTCACACTGCTGCTTCCATCATTTCAGAACCAGAATGTGGAAAAACAAAAATGTCCTTGCTTTAGCAAACAGATGTTCCGAGAGTCTCCTGACATCTGCAGCATCACATCTGTACTCATACTGTGTTCTTTATGAGGGCAGGAGCCAAACCCTCCGGGTGCTTTTGTGTTCTGCAGCTTCTACGAGACGTGACTGCGTTTTATGAGGTTAAAAACGGCAACGGTCGGGGAAAAGTTCACGGGAACGAGGTCCAATCGACCACGTTTTCATCTGAAATCGGCTCAGGCTAACACCCAGAAGATGGGTGACGGTACGTAGCTGAAAAGGGCTTCTGAATGAGCTGCTGGTAAGTCGGACCCAGACAACATAAAGAAAGAGTTTCTTATCTGACCAATCAGATTTCAAGGCTCGATTCCATTTATTTGGAGAAATTTACAAAACGTGTCTTAAAGGACGCAGATGAGGCCGTCCGGCGGTGAGATCACTTCCTGTTTACAACCAAACGTTCTTCTTCACACTTCCATGCTCATGAAACTTCGTCTCACTGACCTGCACCCCGCCCCCGACGGCCCAGACACACGTCACTGACCTGCTAGCGCTTCCTTACCAGAGTTAAAATATTTGCTGAGCAGCAGATGGAGGCTGCAGCTTTTTGGGCCTAAAACTCCCCATCGTAACGGCCCGTTCTGCTGACGGGCTCTCGCTTCGAACACTTGATGTATTGTGCTCGCCTGGGCCCAGATGTTTGTACTGGCGAGGCGCGCGGTGGGCTCTAAACAGGTGCCGCAGTAATGAGAGGCCCTGGATGGAGCTTCAAAGGGCCCCTCCCCTCTCTCCTACCTGGCCCCGGTCCACTCACCGGTTCCGAAGCGGGACGTGTAGTTTTCGATGCCTGCCAGGTCCAAGTAGTGGTTCCGGCGCTCCAGGTTCTCATCCACACAGTGGCGCTGGCAGCCAGGCTGGGCGTGGTGGTCGCTGTGGTGGCGCCTGTGGACACGAGCAGCACCTCTCATTAGGTAGCAGCTTGGAGAAAATAAACAAGTGTTGCTTGTGATCAGGAAGAGGCCAAATGATTGTTCCAGCCATGAGGTCGGGACCGGGAAAATCACAGCGGCGCTCAAAGGTCTCATTTATGTGTTTTTTGCACACATCTGCTGTGGTGTCTCGGGTGAACGCGAGTCGTTACCGGAGGAACAAAACGCTGTGGTGCTTCCTTCAGGAAGCAGAATTTAGTCAGAGGAGCAAAGAGGCGGGAAATGTCAGGTTTACTCATTAATATTTATGATATGCAAACATCTAGCCTCTGATTGGCTAACAGCAACTTCCTCTTCTGCCTTCGTTCACTTTTCAACGCTGATGTTTTATCTGCACAAATAACACAAACCAGAACGTGTTGTGAAGTTGCTGATGGATAGCGTCTGCTAGCCGAGACGTGCTCTGCTCTCTCCTTCTTGTGGGCAGTCCCAAGCCAAAGGGGGCGGGGCCATGAATCTAATTTTTCCTGTGATGTAGAAGAGACAGGCTTTTCACGACCTGATCGTTTTCCTCTCTACTTCCTTTCTGCGGCTGATGTAGGATGGAGAAACTTGTCACGTTTAGAAGAGCTAGGCAATATATTATAAGTTACGCGCCCGCTCCGTAATCAGAAGGTTGCAGGTTTGAGCCCTGCTCAGTCTGTCGCTGTCGTCGTGTCCTTGGGCAAGACACTTAACCCACCTTGCCTGCTGGTGGTGGTCGGAGGGACCGGTGGCGCCTGTGTACGGCAGCCTCGCCTCTGTCAGTGCGCCCCAGGGCAGCTGTGGCTACATCGTAGCTCATCACCACCGGTTTTTAACTACTTGAGGACGTTCGTTCGTGTTTCGGCGAGCCTTTTCACCGCGGCTCCCGACCGGATTTCTGTTTATCCCGTTTGTGAGAGACGGGCCAAACCCCGCCCTCGAGTAGTCAGGAAACATCGACGGAGAGCAGCCAGGCCCACATAGCGGGAGTGTAATCCTGAACTGTGGATGCAAATAGATTTGGCTGAACCTGATAACAATCACTGGTAATGTTGTGGATGAGAGAATATGAGCCATGTGAAACACAAAGACATAAACCTACATGTGTTAACCGACAGCTGCAAAGCTCAGACTGATATTTATACATCAACAATTTCTCAAGGCTGCTTAAAGGTAGTTAACTTGTAAATATTATACAGGAGGAGAAATATGGATATATATACGGTAGATCTGAATTCAGCTAAAACATATTGAGATATGTTTTGGTCCATATCACCCAGCCCTACCGTTTAGCATACATGCGAGACTCAGACTGACCGTTTGCATTTAAAGAGCAAGTCACCCCCAAAGCAATTTTCTGATAAATTACATAAACGTGTGTCTAATCGTGCTGCAGACACGTGTAGTCAATAGTTTTGCACTTTAGCGCATTTTAGTTAGAATTTAAATTTTCTGCCTAAAACTGTCAGTGTTGTGCCGTTGTCAGGTAAAAACTCTGCACTGCATTTGGATTTAAATCTGCCATCGCTATTGGCTAAGAGGTACTCTAGAATGTTAGCTGGTACCATATGATGTCACAATGTCGTTGTGAGCCTGTGTGTGTGTATTTGTTAGTGGCTCCGCCCTCTCAGTCTGCTAGGCAACAGCATTTGTTGCATTTTTCAAACAGGAAGTGGGAGTTGAGTAAGAATCTGGTAGGGGGTGACTTGCTCTTTAAAGAGCAAGTCACCCCCAAATCACATTTTTTTTTACTGATAAACTATATAAAGGAGTGGCTAATCATGCTACAGACATGTGTAGTCAATAATTTGGCACTTCAAAGCGTCTTGGTTAAAATTTAAATATTCTGCCTAAAACTGGCAGTGTTGAGCCGTTGTCAGGTAAAAACTCTGCACTGTATTTGAATTTAAATCTGCCATCGCTATTGGCTAAGAGGTATGATATGATGTCATCTGGTACATTATGATGTCATAATGCCATTGTGAGCCTGTGTGTGTATTTTTTAGCGGCTCCGCCCTCTCGGTCTGCCAAGCAACAGCATTTGTTGCATTTTTCAAACATGAAGTGGGAGTGGAGTAAGAATCTGGTAGGGGGTGACTTGCTCTTTAAATATGGAAAAGTACAACATGGTTTCTATGGGAACGAGACCCAACAGGTGAAAGCTGTGACATAAACACACGTATCTGGAGGTGTTACCTTAGCAGAGCTCGAGACTTCTTGTCCGAAGTCTTGGAATCATCCATGCACTTGTCGTTTTTGTCTCTGGAGTGGGACAAGTCTGCAGAAAGAGACACGGGGCTATTTTCAAATAGTCCAATGCAAAACAGACACACACACACACACACACACACACACACACACACACACACACACACACGACTCAGAAGAAAGCAACCTTTGTTTTAGGGCTTCACTTTGAAGATTTCTAGACAAAAAACCAACAGTGATTCATTCATTCATTCTATTTTCAAATCTCCTTCTCTTACAAGGACCAGAGTAACAGAAAAAATCCGCCGACTTCACAAATAGTTTTATTGGGACGTGACATCCGATGCGATTTGAAATTAGCATGAAGGCAAAACATTTTCAAAGCTTGCTCCGTCTGAATCTCCTGACAGATATTTATAGCAGAAACAAGAGAACACAATCACACAGGAATGTATACTTTTCCAGACATGCGTCCCTGGCTGCTTGTTTACCAAAACGTCAGTGAGAAAAGTTAAGTTGAACGCTGCTCTATTTCCCCGGCAGCTCTGAGAAAAGAGGACAGAGAGAGAAGGGGGGGAGACGAAAAACAGAAAAGGGAACGCCGGAGAAGAGAAAAAAGGCTGTGGTTTTCAAAAGGACTTGGCTCATCTCTTACGGTTTCTTTTAGACTATTTGAAGTCAGCGAGGAGAGGGGAGGGGGTCTTTTCCTGGCTCAGTCACACGCACACCCCCAACCCTCAAATCATTAAAAATGAACCCCATCGAGTGGGAGGGATGGAGCGACTGCGAGGAACAAAGCTCCGACGGGCCTGAAGCTGCCGCCTTTCAGCGCGACAACAAACGCATCTGCGAGCGAGCTGACGACAGGCAGCACAGGGAGATGCTCAGAAGGCCTCTTTCCTCCTCTGCTGCCGCCCACCGCGTTGATGCGAGTGTTACCTGTCGCACCGTGAGCGCAGCTCCTCCACCGCTGGCTGGAGTCGGGAGCAACGGACAGCTTCACCCGCAGGGTCTTACTGCTGCTGGGGGAATGGTTGACGGAGGCATCAACCACTTCGTAGATGGTGTGGAGCAGGCTGGTGATGTCCTGCAGGGGTGCAGGAGGAGATTAGACACAATCAAAGAGATTTTAAGGCTTTGTACATTTGTGATGATTATTTCACTTCCTCGTGTCAACTTTAAAGAGCAAGTCACCCTCAAATCAACTTATTTTCCTGATAAACTATATAAATGCGTGTCTGATCGTGCTGCAGACACGTGTAGTCAGTAGTTTAGCACTTTAGTGCATTTTAGTTAAAATTGTAATTTTCTGCCTAAAACTGTCAGTGTTGTGTCGTTGTCAGGTAAAAACTCTGCACCGCATTTGAATTTAAACCTGCCATCGCTATTGGCTAAGAGGTACCCTAGAATGTTACCTGGTACCATATGATGTCACAATGTCGCTGTGAGCCTGTGTGTGTGTCTGTTAGCGGCTCCGCCCTCTCGGTCTGCTAGGCAACAGAATTTGTTGCATTTTTCAAACAGGAAGTGGGAGTGGAGTAATACTCTGGTAGGGGGTGACTTGCTCTTTAAAGGCTATTTCAGAAGAAGAAGAAGAAGAAAGTATCATTTCCATAGCGCCTCTCAAGATAAAAATCACGAGGCGCTTCACAAAAACAAAAAATGTAAAAATATAAAAAAGCATTTAGAAAATGTTTAAAAATATATTTAAAATGAGCAAAAATAGACAATTGTGATTTTAAAAAACGTTAGCTGGTACCATATGATGTCACAATGTCGCTGTGAGCCTGTGTGTGTGTCTGTTAGCGGCTCCGCCCTCTCGGTCTGCTAGGCAACAGAATTTGTTGCATTTTTCAAACAGGAAGTGGGAGTGGAGTAATACTCTGGTAGGGGGTGACTTGCTCTTTAAAGGCTATTTCAGAAGAAGAAGAAGAAGAAAGTATCATTTCCATAGCGCCTCTCAAGATAAAAATCACGAGGCGCTTCACAAAAACAAAAAATGTAAAAATATAAAAAAGCATTTAGAAAATGTTTAAAAATATATTTAAAATGAGCAAAAATAGACAATTGTGATTTAAAAAACGTTAGCTGGTACCATATGATGTCACAATGTCGCTGTGAGCCTGTGTGTGTGTCTGTCAGCTGCAGTTCTGAGTAGAAAAAGACCAATTTTGAGGGCTGACGCCGTCGTTGATGGATTCGATCTCTTTGTATGAACTGGAGGCTTAGCAACATTCAGTTCACAGGCTAAAATGAGTGTTAGTAAAGCTGAATTCAGCGTAAGCCAACCCTCCTGAAGGCTTCAGGAGCCTCTGCAGAGGTGTTGGCGGTGCTAAAGCTACAATTTGGTTAAAAGCGTCTGCAAAAGAAATAAACCCAACAGGAGATTTACTCTGTTGCAGCCATTTCCACATTTGCTAATGTTGACCAGCTGTGGCAGCCATCTTGGATCGAACTGAACATTAATACGTTTTATACGTGCATCCAGTGGAAAAATATCTGAAGTTTTCATTGAAATTGGTCCAGTGACGCAGAGTTAACACACAAACACTAAAACATTTCCCGGTTTTTCCCTTTAGGCGATAAAACATACTTTCAGCCTGTAATTTAAATACCTTCCAAACATGTAAACAGATGTTTCTTTCAGCTGTTTTCTGCAGTAAGGAGTGATTTCACCCAGTGAGGTAATACTGAGAAACTAACTAACACACGTCATGTAGCGTCTCAGGTTTATTACTCCTAAAGTCGTTCACTTCGCTAATAACGGCTTCAGCAGCAGAGTTTAGAAAAATACAGTTCAGAAAACGAAGCCTGAGTCACACAAAGACTCCAGTAACGCGGTTTCTTCTCAGACTAACTCATAAAAAGAACTATTATAAATTCTTCAGGGACCGGTTCCATATTCTGGTTTCAAACATAAACAAAAAATAAAAAAAACTGAAATGAAAGCTTCCTGTGTCATTTCTGTTTTCCTCTTCTTTTTTTATTTGTGTGAAGGGATTAATAAAAGAGTTGGAGAAGAAAGCGTTTCCTTCCCCCCACCAAGCCGCCGCCTGACGTCTCGTGAGCCACGGAGCCACAAGCAACGCCAGAAAGCTGCACAGCCAACCGCGCAGAGGAAAGCTGCAGCCTGTTTCAAGTTGCTCTCAGACACACAAACTGGATGTTTCCTCAGATCAGAACCGGGCAGATGCAAGCCGCGAGGCGCCTCGCAGGTGTGGAAACACTCAGACTTAGCCGGGCTTGTCTTCGCCCGAGCGGGGTGAGGTCCAAACACATTAAATAAATGTTTTCATATTTTAGACGATTCACCCAGATAGACAGCCGGTTCCTGTTTTCTGTCGGAATATAAACACGTCCGAAGGGTTTATTTTATACAACGAGTCATTTTGGCCGGGCCAAAAAAATGTGGACGCAAAAGTGAAACTGCTTCTTAAAAGTCATCAATATTCAGGTTTAGTCCCACGAATGAGTTTTACTTCATAAAAAAAATGTGGTGACACTTTAGTTTAGGGTGACGGTGGCACAGGAGTTAGGTGCTCGCCCCGTAATCGGAAGGTTGCAGGTTCGAACCCCGCTCAGTCTGTCGCTGTCATTGTGTCCTTGGGCAAGACACTTAACCCACCTTGCCTGCTGGTGGTGGTCGGAGGGACCGGTGGCGCCTGTGCTCGGCAGCCTCGCCTCTGTCAGTGCGCCCCAGGGCAGCTGTGGCTACATCGTAGCTCATCCCCACCAGTGTGTGAATGTGTGTGTGAATGGGTGAATGACTGATTGTGTTGTAAAGCGCCTTGGGGGGTTCCAGGACTCTAGAAGGCGCTATATCAAATACAGACCATTTACCATTTAACACAAATTAACCGTTCATTAGCTGCCAACTAATATGCATATTAGTCTGAACTAGTCATTATTAAACACTTATTAACAGCTTATTACTAATGCTGAATTCTAACGTTAACAGGCCATAAATTAAGAGTTTTATCATTATAATCCATTCATAATGGTTTGTTCATTGAAAGTAAATGATTTGTTGCACATGCTAATTAGCTCAAATTAATATGTGGCTGTTAAAGAAGTAATTCAAGGCAAATTATTATTCTGCATTAATAACCAAAAATATTATGTTCTGGTATGTAAATAAACACCAAACTCCAAATGTTAATAGAGCCTAAACAACAAACAATTAACCACCTGTAAGCAAGAACATGTTCCCCATTCTAAAGTCAGATGTTGTTCATACCTAATTACTAGTAGTTTAGTATTAATTAACTGCTTAAAGGCAAGAATATGTTCCCCATGATTTACGTCTTTAAAAGCCACATATTGATTTGAGCTAATTAGCATGTGCGTTAATCAGCAACAAACATTTACTTTCAGTTAACAAATCATTATGAATGGCTTATTATGATAAAACTCTTAATTTATGGCCTGTTAATGTTAGAATTACCGCATTAGTAATAAGCTCTTAATAAGTGCTTAATAATGACTAGTTCAGACTTAGTAGTCCACTAATATGCATATTAAATGGCAGCTAATTAATGGTTAATTTGTGTTCCCTAAACTAAAGTGATACCAAATATGTTTACTCCTACCAATAAAAATAAAAGATCAATAAAAAACTGGTTGTGGAGGAGTGTACAGTGATCCCTCGCTACTTCGCGGTTCGTTTATCGCGGATTCACGACTTTGCGGATCTTTTCTTTGGAGCCTTATTCAAAGGAAATTTGCCGATTCGCGGTATTTTTCTATGCGAAATATCAAGAAATTCCTGTTTTTTTTTTCATCAATTTCATCATAAAATGCACTTTTTGCAATAAAACTATAAAAAAAACCAAGTAAAAATACAGTACTATGTAAAGGGAGGGTTTTAAAAGTCTGAATACTGAATACGTACCTGTTAAATAAATATTGTAAATATGGTGTCCCTACTTGGCGGATTTTCACCTATCGCGGCCAGGTCTGGAACGCATCTACCGCGATAAAGGAGGGATCACTGGACGTATCTCTGAGTCTTGTTCACGAGTGAGGGAAAGATGGAGCGTGAGATCGATAGGTGGATTGGTGCTGCGTCTGCAGTGATGCGGGCGTTGTACCGGTCTGTCGTGGTGAAGAGAGAGCTGAGTCAGAAGGCAAAGCTCTCGATTTACCGGTCGATCTACGTTCCTACCCTCACCTATGGTCATGAGCTTTGGGTAGTGACCGAAAGAACGAGATCGCGGATACAAGCGGCTGAAATGAGTTTTGTCCACAGGTTAGCCGACAGCTGCAGCTGACGTGAGACCGATTTTTTTTTTACCTCTCGTGTAACTTTGCCATTGTTGTCAAAGTCGTAGAGGGTGAAGGTCCACTCCTGTCGGTTGTCCTCCTCCACAGAGACGGCACACTCCAGCTCCTGAAACATCAACTCAAGTGTCACACGGCGAACATGCAAGTGTGTTTTTCTGTGCTCGTCTGGCCATCGCTCCAGTTTTATCCAGGCAAATGTCCCGCTTTGTAGCGACACTCACTTCAAACTGGAGCTGCTTCTGTGGCCCTGGGGGTGATTGGCTGTCCCTCTCCTGCATCTTCTCCTCCACACAGCAGCTGTCTGTCTTCTCCGGGGGTAAAGCCACTGCACACACACACACACACACACACACAAAGATAAAAGGGATGGCCTGAGGACAGAAAAGCTGGGTGCTGTCTTAACCTGAGGACATGTCATTGCTTTTTAGTCTTTTCTGTGAGCTCACACTTCCAAGTCTGGCAGCTGCAATGAAGCTGCGGCACAAAAAGAGCTCCCCATTCTGTAGGGTATTTATGTTTGATGTGAAGTGTTCCACAAGCAGAATTATGATGCTTTGATGCTCTTCGTGTAGTTAAATATGAAATAACGTAAACTAGAGGTCATTATGCTCAGTGAACTCGTAGTTATTTACAGCATTCCTGATTATGCTCAAAGGCAGCTGACAGTTCAAAAACGTCCTTCGTGTTAGACGTCAGAGGAAACGGATCCAAGATGGGGTACAGGTCAGGTTGAATCAGTCTCAAATACACAAAAACAAGCTTCTTTAAAGTAACAAAACTAAAACGTGCTTCAAACACTTCAGTAGAAGCTCCCGCATCCCGGGCCCAGAGCTGCACCGCTCACCATCTTTACAACCAGATCTAAAGTCCGGAAGATCATGACATGAGGAGTGTGCACCGCCTGGTCAACACTTCACACGATAACAAGCAAGCAGACAGAAGGCAGAGTGTACCTAAAGGCATGTGTTCGTTTGATCTCCACCAAACAGATTATGGTATGCAGAAAATTCTGCACACATCTTTGATTTCGAAATGTGTTGAATGCTTTGCACTGTTCTTGTATTTGATTTCCTGTCAGGTCGATCCGACCTGCTGAGCTAGATGTGTTCTGGAAGGGCAGTTATGCGTCCGATAGGCACGCCTGGTGGAAACAAACACATCAACTATAACAGCAGCTAGTAGCGGCGTATTGTACGTCGCAGAGGTTGTGCGGCGCTTGCACATCTGGTGGAAAGCCGAGGCAAGACTTGGATTATTCCAAATTTAAATCACTGACAAAACCACTTTAGCTGAAGTGAAGATGGCGTCCATTTTAGCGGGGATTTGTTGGACTCACCACTCTGTGCTTCATTATAGACATGAGAAACACAACAAAGCCAGTGAAGTAACAGTTTTACATGTAATCAGAAAAATCCGTAGATCCGGACGCCTCTTTTCACTCTGCTTTTCATGAACTGTGAGCTCTAATTATTTTAGTTCCTGCGATTTTATTTGCACATTTGAACTAAAATTATTAACAACTGCTGCATGGTGTTTAAAGACGACACGGCTTTGTAATATTGTTGTTCAAATTACAGCTGCTGCAAATCATGACTGTGTACTATGATGCTGAATCAGTGCCTATATTTATTTATCAGCGTCGTCTGAGCTACAGTTACAACAGACACCGACTCTGTTAAGTTACCAAAGTTTTCAAAAAGCTGTCTGAAGTATTAAGAACTGTGAGGTGAGCACAAGCTTGATGTATGAGCACCTGAGAGGCTGCTAAAGCTGATAAATGTGCCCTATAAACTTAGACAGGTTGTGTGTCTGACACTTTTTCAGTTGGAAAGATGTCAAGAGGAAGATGTTAGACCAGAATCAAGGTCGAAATTTGACTGATTAAGTCTTTACGGAGCCCATTTTGGGCACACTCAACTCTTAAAGCCTGAAATTTGAAGTAATAATATAGATCTGCTTTAGTTTATTAAAGGTAAAGCAATCGATGTTTCTGAATTTCAGGGAAGAACCGCCCTCTCCACGTTGCGCAACACTCTCCCAGCGCCTGTTTACAAGTAACTGCCGCCGTAATGTGCGACAAGAGGCTCTAAAACTAGCATGCAGAACGTTAGCTTACCTCTCCAACAGAAAACCGGCAACAGCGGCGTCTGTGGGGAGCGGACTGGACCGCGTTAGCCTCTACCTGACTTCCATGAGAGTGCCAGGGTGCACAGAGTTCACATGCGCAGGAAGTGAAAACTAACCCAGGATTGGCTTCACCAGAAATTGACATTTTTGCAGACCAATAGTTGACGTGATCCACCCGGAAGAAAAACATTGATTGCTATACCTTTAAGTAATTATATAGCAGTACAGAAGGAATAAAGAATGTTTTGATCATCCACTAGAGGGCAGCAGACATGTATAGAACTGGAGATGGCAGGTTTCTTTCTGATGAAGGTACAAATCTCAAGTGGTGCTCACTGCAGAACCACAAAGGCGGAGCTGCACCAGAAGGCGGAGCTGCACCAGAGTCAGCCCCGCCCATTCCAGAGTCAGCCCCGCCCATTCCATCAGAGTCAGTCCGATTCCTTCCAGTTGTCAGACTTGATAGCATTCTGGAACCAAAGAGGGTGTTATAGCTAATATCATCTAAAATGCAAGATGGAGGACGGAGTTGAGAAGTTAATTGAACAGTTTTTGTAAAGGTTCCATATAATTAAAAATCTAACTTTTGGAACTTTTTATCGTGTTATATTGTCATTTCCTCATAAGAAACACGCCAACGCCATTTTTGGCCTCATTCATGCATTTTCCTCCCATCTCAGCTTCAAGTTGGTCTCCTCCCCCGAAGCGGGTCTGATCTTGGTTCTCAAATCTGGATATTCTGTGATTTTTCTGACAAATTATTTCTGAAATGACTTCTACAGAGACACCGGCGGAAAAATCATACATCCCATCTACAAAAACACACTGGATGGCTAGGGCTGGGCGATATGACGATTTTAGACCGTTTTACGATCTACACATCTGACGGTCTGTCATTTTTGAGAGACCGTTTTATCACGATTCACAGCTCTGCTGTTGAATTTCTGCCTCTGAATGAAAAGGGAACTTACCACAGGCGAATGACACGCCTTTGTTTAACCCTTAACCAATCAGAGTGAGTCATAGTAATATATTAGTGCCCCGCTTGTTTTCACCTGTGTGTGAACAAACATGGCTTCGGCCGCGGCTGAGAGCGACAACGAGGTTTTCGTTCCGAAGAGGAATGCAGGGTTTCCTTAGCGCGCGGCGCTAACAACTTAGCGACGTGACATGTCTCGGAGAAAGCGTAAAAACACGTTGGACGCTTCTTCTGAAGCAGGAAAATAACACCGCTTCTTAAGCAGAGCACGACGTCGCCTCGACTCGTCCACCCTCTGCCGAGCCGGACTGAGCACAGCCACTGGGTCGTTGGAGCTGCCCCGTGACTGCCTGATGGAAAACCAGCGGGTTTCATCAGACTCGTAGTTTCTTGTTTTTGCTGGAGACCCCCTGTATTTTACCGCTCCCTCCTGCATTCTTCCCCTATTACAATTTAAAATGATTCTGTAAATCCGTGTATCAATAGAAACAATCTCTGCCTCTGCCAGCTGCAGTAAATGTAGTTTCCAAATAATAAATCTCCAAATAATTCATCTGTGTATCTCCTTTCATCCGCATTAGTGATGTTTTCAGCACCAGAACAGGGAAGCAAAGAAAGATTCCTGAGTTTGTTAGTAATTTTATTTATTAGATGCATCTAACCTGTTCTATTTTTCTCTGAAATGAGATCAGATCAGTGCTTCTATGGGTTGTCTCCAATCTGCACTGGAAATTTTACTTTATTTAGAGACTTGTTGCAGAAAATATTCAGAATGTGCAGTTTTTTGCTACCACAAGCGATCTCTGGTCCAGCCGCACATCAGAGCCGTATTTGAGCTTAACTATCCACTACATGAGCAACTGGGAGCTACATAGTATTTTGAACAAGTTCATGTTTGCACAATACGTTTGCAATTGACATGTTTGCACTTTAAATATGTTTACGATTTTAATTTATGTTAAGTTACTTGAAAAACGAGAAAAACTGATTTTTGTAATTGTTTCTCTCAGGGCTTTTATCATCTCTGGTGTGAGTTTAAAATATAAGAGTGTTAGCACTGTGTTGATTATCCCTAATATGAATAAATGTTTATTTATTCAATGTTTCTCTTCTTTAATACGCAATTGAAGTTATGCTATTCATGGATAAAAAAATCGTGATAAAATCGAAATCGTGATAAAATATTGGAAAAATCGTGATATTCTATTTTTGCCATATCGCCCAGCCCTATGGATGGCACAATTACATGTAACGCCACATGCTTTTTATCAGCTGTAGTGATAAAGTGGTTGTGGAGTCAGACTGACATGCAGTTTCGCGCAGGTTCGCCTCCCAGTGGCCGAAGTATCGGGTAGTTTGAAACCCTTTTTCTTCATTTCTAGCTACACTAGCCAGTACTATGTTTACAACTATTTACTGGTATACCGTTTAAAATATAATGACTAATGTGGTTTTTTTTTTATTTGTTTATGCCAGTGTGAGTCCATTTGTGAGCAGAGTTTCAACTAAAACGCTGTTTAGGAACGACCAAATTCAAAGAACTTTTAGAGACATAAATATTTTGCAGAAGATAAACATTACAACTAAAATATAAACAAATTAAATGTTTCAGCTGGCTAAATAGATTGCTGCCGACCCCACCGAGAATCGAACCAGCATCAGCTGAGGGGAAAGCAAAACTTAAGTCAGACGATCGTGCCACTGGACTACCAGAACTATTGACATGCATATCTGTTTTGTTCGAGCGGCTATGGGCAGATATTTGCTAAAAGAAACCTTTTCGTTTCGGGATTTATTCAGGCTTTGTCATGTAGCAAGTTATATATATCTTGCTTAATTGGCGCATAGATCATAGCATTAACAATTGTAAACTAGTAACAGCCGTAATTCATGTGGGTCAGGTTAGTTTGCGATAAAGTTGAAAAACAAAAACAGAAGAAGTCAGTGGGCCAGGCTGAGTTTGGGTGAATGGGCGGGGCTGACTCTGGTGCAGCTCCGCCTTTGTAGTTCTGCAGCCAGCACCCTCTCACAAACCTTAATGCTCCATCCGGATACTTTAAGGTTATCTATGACGACAGTCTACAAGGAGGTTCATAGTGTAAATAATAATAATAATAATAATATTAATAATAGCTAAACAAGTAACATTAAAATTTGATAAATTCATATTAAACTCCTAAAGCCGACTGATGTCTTAATTGCCAGATTTTTGGGTAATC